ATTACAGTCATTAGCAGAGGACTACCTGTACTGTTCTGGAGTCTAGACGCATCATCAACAGTGATATCCTGGAATTTATACAGAAGCTCCAGGGTATAAGATCTCTTCTTGCAGACATGGGCCTTAGAGTAACATTCCTTGAGTTTTCCATTCTCTCTGCGTGACTTTTTTCTAATTTCTTTGAACCTTCTTAGTCCTGTTATCCTTCCATAAGTGTTCACTATGTTAGATTCAAGGGTTTCCCATCATTCTTAATAAGCTGGGAATGTCCATTGCTGACAATAAAGGATTTGTGCGTTTCATTCTTATTTTGTGGCATCCCCAGTTATTTCCTGCTCACTTCCTTTCCATTATCATTCATCTAACAAATAGAGCTTGTTTCACTGAGTTCATTGAGGAAGTGCCATTCAGCCGTGTGCCATGAAGCCCTGTATCTTCTCAAGTGTTTTTAAATGCCAGCTATTTATTGTGTTTACTGGCACACTGGCAGTAACCAAAGGGCTGAGTATCAGGAAATGTGCAAGTGAAGAAAATGTAATCCACTGGTACAATTTATGCATACCAAGTAACTTTTTTTTTTAATAGACTGTTTGATCTTACTAATATATCTATAAATCACTGCAGCTTGAAGTTGTACCATGCTTTATTCTATAATGGTGAGTGGAGGAAGGCAGAGTATATGCCTTCCTCCTCTCTTATCCATCTCTTGCATTGAAGGAAACAAACCTGCATATTAGGGGTGAAATCCACTTACCTTTGCTACTGGTTCACAAATGGGAGAGCGTGCGCCACCAGTGATGGGTTTCAAATTTTTTTATTACCGGTTCTGTGGGTGTGGCTTGGTGGACGTGGCATGGCTTGGTGGGCGTGGCATGGCTTGGTGGGCGTGGCAGGGGAATGTAAAACCTCCATTCCCACCCCACTCCATCCAGGGGAAGGTTACTGCAAAATACTCATTTCCTCCTGATCAGCTGGGACTCGGGAGGCAGAGAATAGATGGGGGCGGGGCCAGACAGAGGTGGTATTTACCAGTTCTTTGAACTACTCAAAATTTCCGCTACCGGTTCTCCAGAACTGGTCAGAACCTGCTGAAACCCACCTCTGGTGCGCCACCTCTGCACATGCACAGGACCTTCTGCACATGCACAGAACGTCAAAAATGGGATGTGATGACGTCTGGGCAGGTGGGTGGAGCCTCCCGCCACCAGCTCTACAGGTTCACCCGAGCTGGATAGAATCGGCTGCATTTCACCACTGCTGCATATGCTATGTATGTTGGACAGTAATGTATTGAGGATTGCCATACCTTACCTAAGTTGGAATTAGGGTTAGGTTTCATTCAAAGCTTTTGCAAACTTAAGAAGAGGGTTGCAGATTTGTCTGCCTTTGTGTCTGCCTTCCTGTCTACTTATCTACCTATTGATTTTGAGGCCACCCAATTCCAAAAACATTATTGTTCCAACAAGCTGGGCTGGCCTAAACATGAATTTTAGTGGTTGTCTTAGTTTTTTTTAAATAATATCGGGCCCAAATTATTTAATATATTTTAAATTGTTTTTAAATTTTATGTATATGTGTGTTTTATTGCTGGCTGTGCACCGCCCTGAGTCCCTCGGGAGAAGGGCGGTATAAAAATTTAAATAAATAAATAAATAAATAATAGATAGATAGATAGATAGATAGATAGATGATAGATAGATAGATAGATAGATAGATAGATAGATAGATAGATAGATAGACAGACTGACTCCAGGCAGTTCAAGTTTTTAAAAGAGCATATTATTTAAAGAAACATGACTGCCCAGATAAAGTCAAATAAATAACATGCATGAAAAATAGTTCTTCACAAATCTCCTAACCTCAGGCATGGGAATGGAGCCAGATATAATTATGTCCACAGGATTCTGTTCCAGAGGATAGGGCCATGACAGAATAGGTATGCATGGTTTTCAAGGTCAGTCGCATGCAGGGTCCCTTTTACTGATTGAAATAGTCCAGTCATGAGGTCACTAGGGCATGAGTAACCATTTGAAGGGCCCTACAGTTGAGGAAAGGACACAACTGGCATACATCATGGACCCATGCAAAGGCCCTCCTGGCCACAACTACCATCTGCTGTTTGAATAGTAGCTGTGACTGTAGGACTGGGGTGGGCAACTGTGGCCCTTTTACAACCTGTGGACTTCAACTCCCAGAATTCCTGAGACAGCCAAGGTGGCTCAGGAATTCTGAGAATTGAAGTCCACAGGTTGTAAAAGGGCCATAGTTGCCCACCCCTGGTCTAGGACATTTCCCAAATTGCACACTTATCTTGAATTAGGAAATGCAACATCACATTTTGGAGATGTGCGTGATAGATCTGTGATGGTTGATACCCTGTTTCAGAAGAAAAGAGAGTCCTAGGCAAGATGAACTAGCCTTTTATTCTTGCGAGACTTCTCAGATAACATCTGTTCTGAACAACTCTTTCATCAACGAAGTATTTTGGGAAAAAAAATAAGAATATGGCAGCTTGTTATATATTTGTCTGTCGTTCTTTGTTGGAAATCTAGTCAGGAAAAAGGATCTCAATCTATAAAGCAGAAGAAACTATTATTATATGGTCTACTTACTCTTGCCTTTGCTAGGTCAGTTTCTCTCAGTCTAACTGTTCCTGCTTTGCTACAAGATTCTAGTGAAAAGATTCACAGAAAAACAAATAGTTTTGGTAGGGCCAAGGTCAATAAAATAGTGCTTAAGGCAAGGAAACTGTCAAACCAAGCTAAATAAATCGAGCTAGTGAGGGAGGATTGAACTGGAATAGAATGAATGCCTGTAAAACCACAGGTTTGGGGGAAATCAATGAGAAGGGGAAAAGAAATCTGTCACGAAGATAAGGCTGGAAGGAAGCAGTTTATTAGAATTGTTGTGGTGGATGAGTCAGATTCAGTGTAATTGTGATTCTGACGTCTGATTCCTTTGCTTAAAGCTAAATTTAGCTTTAAAATGGAAATGCAACCTTTTTGAGTTCTACTTATTTTAACTATATGTGATTTGAAAGAGTTTATTGCCCTGTTCTTAGCCTTTCCTGAGCTTTCATATAGAAACTATTGAAAGGCTTAGAAGCCTCTTGTGACTGTTATTCAATATAAAAAGGTTGTATACAGATAAGCATCAATGAGCCCATAATAGAAGCTAGATTGTGACATTGCCAGTAGGCATCTTAAAGAGAACCTCTTTCACTAGCTTATAGCAAAATTGTATTTTTACAATTCTGATTATCCTTTGGTGTGTCAGACTCAGATCTGTGCTCCCTTTCTAGAAGTATATTTTATAAACATAAAGAATGTTTAAAACCTAGGGAAAGACAAGAAAATGCTGCACAAATAACTGTGGGCAGACAAAAACAGATTGATTTTGTCAATCAACAGATTGATTGATTAATGTATCTTCACATGATGGTGCCTGTCACTTCAGAATAAATGAATATTTTACCTGGATGCTAGATACCCAGTTCTTGCATGAGAATGCAGACATTTCATATGGCCTTTCCTGTTAGTGCACGAAAGCTCATGTGGGAAGACTGAAACTTCGCCGTTTCATAATTTGGATGTTTTCATTTTAACTCTATATTTATTTTTATTTGGTGGGTTTGCTTGTTGGTGCAGGTGCCACGGTCCAGACTCCTAATACTCAGCTGAGAGTCAGTTATGATATTTTGAGTGTCCACAACTGCCTTTGTTTCTGTATTACCCTATATCAATATTTTTCAAACCTGACATAATGTATGGACTTCAAATCCCAGAATTGCTGGCTAGGGAATTCTGGGAGTTGAAGTCCATACGTCCTAAGCTGACAAGTTTGAAAAGCACTGTTCTACATAGCAATAGCACTGAGACTTATATACCGCTTCATAGTGTTTTACAGCCCTCTCTAAGCAGTTTACAGAGTCAGCATATTGCCCCCGACAATCTGGGTCCACATTTTACCAACCTTGGAAGGATGGAAGTCTAAATCATGTTGCTGTAATGGATATGGTAGAATATTTTTGACAGAAAATAGCCTGATTTCCCTTAGCAGAATAGTTTTAGAAAAAGCTGTATATCTAGTCATGTATTCCTTTGTAATATATTGGAGGAACTTTCAAACCAGATCAAAGATAGCTGCTGCTCCTTGCAAGTTTTCATTGTTAGACTGCACTTCTGCTTTTCTGAAAGAAATATGGACAATACTGGAGTGAAAATGCAATTGTTCAGAAAGTTTCCGTACAAGCTTTTTCCCCCCCAGAGTGTATGTTGTGTAAGTCTTAAAAAAAAAACTAACTTCATGGAAAGCTAATAATTGTCTGCAAACACATTACCTACACTAATTAAGTATGACTATAGATTGCAAGGATATTGTGGGTGTAACTCTGCAGTGCTGTCACGAACAATTTTAATAAAATACATTTTCATTTAAAATGTGACTGAGACTTGACAGTAGTTTTTATAATAGATTTAGTTTTTCTGATACAACAATGTGGGCCACAGTTTTGGTGGAAAACCTCCTTGCTGACCCTCATCTTCTTGCTCTTATGCAGGGGAAGCACAGGGCAACTTTAGAAATTTTACCTACTCAAAAGATCATGCCTCATTGTATTATTTCAGAATGCATGAAGATACTATTCAAGATTAATGTGGGCGAGCTAACTTCCAGTGATTTAGAAAGCTACTACAATTATTGATGACTGCCAACATTTAAACCTGTTTCATGCTGCCCATTAGTGACTTTTGAGCCATGAATTTCCTGGTTACAGGATAATATTGGCAGATTATCACTCCTATTAACTCATAGTTACATAGAGTAAGACTTCCATCCCACCAAACACCCCGTATTTAAAATCCTGTCAGAAGAGTTATTTTCTTAAGGATTCAGAGGTGACCTTTCAGTTTTTGCAGAAGAAGGAAATACAATATTCAATAACCCAAATTGCAGGCTCTATGCATGTTTTTTTTTCAACTTTTGCAATTCTTGTTCTGTAGGTGTGTTGTTGTGCTGTTTAACCCCAGGAAAAACAAGCAGCATCATATTCTAAACAGCTCCAGGTAAGTGAAAACACCGAGTTCTCAATGATTGACTTGAAGTAAATGTTGAGGATTTATCAATAATCTTCCCAATTAAGAACTGTGTCTCAGTTTTACAATCTTCTCTCCTCTCTCTCTCTCTCTCTCTCTCTCTCTCTCTCTCTCTCTCTCTCTCTCTCACACACACACACACACACACACACACACACACACACACACAGGGAAGCAATGCGTACAAAGAACAAACAAGTTTATAGGAACAGTTTGAATTGGGATCACATTTCTTTTCTACTCTTTGGAAATTTATTATGGAAGTGGAATGCTGAATTTATGTTGAACTCCTAAGTATATCTTACATTGTGAATGCCAGAAATCAAGTCATGGTGATGATAATTGTGTGGAACAAAATTGTGGTTAAACAGCTGATTTTTTAAAATTTAAAATAATGTGAGATTATTCTGCAGTTCAGGTGCTTAAAGCATTTACAGAGTGGGCTGTTGCGCATTGAAGTTTTGTGTTTTTTCTTTTTATGAAATGCTGTGAAGGCCTGAGCTGTTGAAGCCTTTTTTCCATAAATGACTCCTGCTCGGATCTAACATCTGAATAAATCTCTGTTGAAAAAGCATGCTAAAGCAACCATTGACACAGATGTCCATTTTGTTCTGCTTTCCTGTGTTCCCTCCCATGCTGCCTAGAGTCATTCTGAAGTTGAGCAGTTTAGAAATTCAATGAATGAATAAATAAATAGTCTGACATTCAAAAGCTTTAACAGACAAATATTTATACAACAGGCTATGTTGATTCCACACCTAGGCAAATAAGGATGTAGTGTTTGGCTCTTGTAAAATTGTACAGCAACATCACTGAAACCTTATCGTTACTTAATTTTGTTGAGTTGAAAATGCCAATATTGTATTGATTTTGTAGCATTTCACAGTAGGATTTCTTCTTTTGTACAGGAAGACTATTACGGCCCTTGCTTTTTCTCCTGATGGAAAATACCTGGTTACTGGAGAGGTAAGTTAGGGTCACATGGCTCTCATGTGCCAGAAATTCAAGCATGCCTTCATATTTCAATAGTAAAGTAAGGCAGGAATGACTTAAAAGCCTTACTCATGACCTGGAGAGAGAGCCATGCTACAACAAAAAAAATAGCTCCTTGCTTTGGGTGGCAGGAAGAAAGGGTCTGGGATCCAGGTGTAAGCTTGCTGTTTTACTACTGGTTCTGTGGACATGGCTTGGTGTGGCTTGGTGGGCGTCGCAGGGGAAGGATACTGCAAAATCCCCATTCCCTCCCCACTCCTGGGGGAAGGATATTGCAAAACCTCCATTCCCACCCCACTCTGGGGCCAGCCAGAGGTGGTATTTGCCGGTTCTCTGAACTACTCAAAATTTCCACTACCGGTTCTCCAAACTGCTCAAATTTTCCACTACCGGTTCTCCAGAACCTGTCAGAACCTGTTGGATTTCACCCCTGGGTCACATTCTGTTGATAATTCATGGCGTCTCCAATGCAAGGCTTGTGAACAAAGGTAAAAAACACTTTCATAAAGAAGACTTAGTCTCAGTGGAAAGCAAGACGAGTTGCTCAAGTTGCAAATACATAATTACTAAAATATTTGAAGAACGTCTTGTTTTATTAAATAGAAAGAAAATTCTTAATTTGTGGATACATTGCTTTAAGTGGTTGGAGAAGTAGAAAGGAAACTAGTTGCTCATTTGGGATTGTTTTGCAATTAGAATTGTTGGAGGGGCGGAGAACATTTAGACTAGGGAAGCCAGAGAGATGGATCTGTAAGGTGAAAACCATTTGATGGCGGTGTGCCTTCAGTTTTAGCAAAACTTCATATTTGATATAGAAGAGTTAAATGAACTGCAAACCAGTTTTGTCTTGCACTCCCATGTGCTCTGAAGCACCTCTTCCAGATCGAATCCTAATATGTTAATTCATTGTAGAAAATGAAAGGACGATGTTGATTTTTGCTTCGGATGGGGTACAAAGAAGCCAATGGGTATAGTCTCATTTATACTTTTGATGAGGGAAGGTCTTTGTGGGGAAAAAAATTGAATATAGTAACAAAGATGCTGATGCTTGTAGATTTGGCAGCACTGGGTTTAGTTGCTGGCAACAAAAGTTTTCATTTTTTTAAAAAAATGTACGAAGTTGAAAAAGCCAGTATCCCGTTTCTGATGTAGATCAGATATACGTACAATACTACCACTGTGTGTGTTATGAAGAGTGAATTGGTGCTTGCTTGAAGCCCACAAAAATGTTGACAGCCTCTTGTTGCCCATGTTGGATGGCTGCCATGTGTGTCCAAAGAAGCTGATTTACTAATGGACTGTGTACACAATCCCTTCATTATCTTGAATGTTTTGGACTGCAGTTATTGAATTCAAGGGGTGATTCACCCCACTCCCACCAAGTCAAGCAATGAACTGTAGAATGCGAATGCTAGTCACATGACCTGCAAGCTTGTAAGTGGGTCAACATAAGAATGATTGTGCGGGATTTAAAATGTTAGATTTGAGAATGGGCAGCAATGTATCCCTGATCGCTTAAGAACAAGGTGGGAGCTTCTCTTATTCCATGAAAATCTGATGCTCAGAACATTTTGCCACAGGATATAAGACCCTAAGTTGGAAAGGCCCTTTGAGGTCAGCCTCTGCTTAAAGCAGGATTTACAAAGTTGGATGCAATAACAGTATCTTTGACAGATGGCTGTTCAGCCTCTAGCTTCTCATGACTTCTGAAGCAACAGACTGCTCATCTTCTTTTGGAGTTTTGAAGCCCTCTCTGTACTGAACATTATCCAAACTTTAAATCAGTGGAACTAACTGTTAGCTCTGTTTGACTATGTCTCATAAACACTGCAATAACTGCAATCCATTATCCTTTTTTTTTTTAAAAAAAAGTTATGCTTAGTGGCAATATAGTAAACAACTGTAGAAGGCTGGAATGGTTCACTCTGTAGGGAAGAGGAATTCCTGCAACTTTAAATGGCAAGGGATTGGATAAATGTTAACACCGACATTTCATGATTGGGCTCTTCACATGGTGTTGGTTGTAGAATCCAGTGCCTCCATCGCTTCCTCCTCTTCCTTAAACTAAGGACAGTTTATTCTCTCCTTTCCACTCTCATGCAGTGCTTGCCTATAACAGGGGTGTCAAACTCAATTTCATTGAGGGCTGCATCAGGGTTGTGTTTGACTTTGGGGGGCTGGGGTGGGTGTGGCCAGCTCAACGTCACTCCTGTCGGGGGTGCCTCTGGTGGCCTGAATGCTCTGCCAGCACAAACAGGCTTTCAAGCTTCGTTTTCGGCTGACATGGCCTCCTGCAACCCTCTGCCAGTGAAAACGGAGCTCAGGAGGGCCACCGAGCTCCGTTTTCACTGGCAGAGGGTTGTAGGAGGCCATGGCAGCCAAAAACTGAGCTCGAGAACCCATTTTTGCTGGCAGAAGCGCTGTGGGCCAGTCCTTTGCTGTTTCCAGGGCGGTCCTGTGGGCCAGATCTAAGTACCCCATGGGCTGGATCCGGCCCCCAGACCTTGAGTTTGACACCCTTGACCTATAATGTTGACTTTGCTTCTGCTATTAATTAATTCTTCAGGATAGTTTTGTAGTGTGAGATACGGTTTTTTCTTTTCTTATTGCACCCTGTTAGATAAGTATTCATCTTTCTCCAGCTTATTCTTATCTATCTACAGTATGTTCCTTAAATATATGTCCCACCTCAGACTAAAAATGTGAATGTTATAAACTATCAATTACAAGAATCTTTAAAGATGACTTTAGAGATTGTGGGAGAACAGAACAAAACACTTTATTGGACAAGTATGATTTGACACACAAGAAATTTGTCTCTGGTACAGAAGTTCTCAGTATACATGCAAAGAACAGAATCATCATCATCATCATCATCATCACAATAAGAGGGGGGGAGTAAAGAAGATAATAAGATATAAATGATAATATTATACCCATACTACATGGCTAAATATACATACATATGAGACAGCAGTGTGAGAATTAGATGTTCAGCAGATTGATGATGCACGAGAAAAAACTGTCTCTGTGTCTACTTGTTTTGGCATGTAATACTCTGTGGTGTCCTCCCAAGGGGAGGAGTTGAAACAGATTATGTCCAGGATGTGAGGGGTCTGTAGAAATCTTCTCAGCCCTCCTTCTGACCCACTCAATATACAATATTTTAGTTATATTACCCACATTTTGCATATGACCTTGAGATCCACATCAGTTAACATACCAGTAAAATATATATATTTTATTGAACACAGCCAAGCTCCCACCCAATCAGTTCACACCCCCACTGGCAGTTAAAAGGAAGAAACAGCTGCGATCACACATTGCTCCTAGAAGCACGAAGCCGAAAACACCAGCCTGAAGATGACAAATGATACTTCGTCGAAACGTCACCAAGACACTTCCAATTTTATGCGGGAGAAAACCCAAATAACCAAATATATATATATATGTAGGTCTTTGGTTATTCGGGTCTTCTCCCACGTAAAATTGGAAGTGTCTTGGCGACGTTTCGACGAAGTCTTGCTCCTGGAAGCACGAAGCTGAGAACACCAGCCTGAAGATGACGAATGAGACTTCGTCGAAACGTCGCCAAGACACTTCCAATTTTACGTGGGAGAAGACCCGAATAACCAAAGACCTACATACAAACACCCGCGAAAACTTTCAAATAGAGATTTTATTTTTTAGGTGGTGTCCATTTTTATTTATAAATTTATTTCTGTTGAGCTTACCCACTTCTTCAATTAGAGCTGACTTCGACCGGGTGTTGTAAATTGGGTTAAAAACATGCATCATACATTTCAGTAAAATAGCAGCAGGGATGATTTATATAAAAATAATATATGGCAGAATTCAGCTCTGGGGATCTAATCCTTTTAACAACCACTGAGCAAAAGTCAACATCTGTTACTAGAAATGACAAATACCACTCCAGACTATGAGACCTGATGAAAGAGCCATGATTTGATGGATTTTGTGAAAGCCAGGAGCTATTTGGATATCTGGCAGAATATTATTTTACAGATGGTAAACAACTACTGAGAAAAATTGCCTCTGTGATGGCAGTGAAGATAGCAGACTACGAATGAAAAGACAGAGCAAGCCCTTTTGGGCGACCTTCAAGTCAGTGTTGACTCTTTGAGACTGTTCGATGAGTCCCTGCAGTCTGCTTGGTAGAATTTCAGAAGTAGTTTTCCATTGCCTGGCTCCTAGGGCTAAGAGAGAATGATTGGCCTAAGGTCACCCAGCTGGATTTGTGCATAATCCAGAACTAGAACTCAGGGTTTCCCAGTTTCTAGCTGGTGCTTTAACTGTTATGTTACACTGGCTCTCAAGCCCATTCTGGTGGGTTTTATTAATGAGGCAGATATCCAAAGAGAAAGTGGTCCTGCATGTTAGATCACACAGGGCATTAAAGACAATCAACACCTTAAGCTAACCTGGAAGTTCATTGGCAGCCTTCTTTTTCTCTCCCGCTTCCACATTTTTATTCCCACAGGTTGTGACGGCCACCTGTTACAGCCTTTTATGTCTCCTTTCATCTCCCCTTAACCATTACCTGTTTATTACTCTGAATGCATGGAAAGATAGGGTTATGTGTGCCTTGAACGTCTAGATTTTGTATGGACAGAATTTTAAAGAAAAAAATCCGAAATTCTGGAAGTCACAAATATTCTGACTGTTCAGTTGTTCTTTGCTGAACATACAGGCATTAATATTCCTTTTTGTTGCTGTTGTGCGGCTTAATTCTTATGTCACCGAAGGAGATGTGGAAAAGTATGTCAGTTGGGTATTAGTGTAGGACTTTAGTATTTTAGTATATCTTTAGAAACAAAGTTAGTTTTTTGATTAGCCCATAGGCCATATCAAAATTAGAAATAAAGTTAAATATTTGGATTAGCCTTTTACGACCAACTCAGAAGATGGTTGGCCAGTGGCACTTTTCAGCAGCATAGACAAGGTTAAGTAAGTGGTGCGATATGGAAGACATTTCAAATTTATATCAGACAAAAAGAATTATGCTGCTGAAAAATGAGAATAGGTTGCAGTGAATTGCAGAAGCTAGAGTATGGTGCCAGGTATGCAGTGTTAGAATTCTGAAGAAACAGGAATTTTGTTGTGTCTACGCACTTGAGATTGGCCTCTGCACATTTTCAAGAAGCTTACTTAAATCTAGAAAACATCCTAGAATTATTTGCTACTAAATGACATTTCCCTAACAAAAAAGCCATTTTAACAGGCTTTGATAAAAAAGCTAATAAATTAGTGTATTTGTACACTAATTTATATTCTTCTTTGTTATGACTCCCTGGTCCTTTCCATATTAATACTAGTTTCTCCATTTTCGCCTTAATAGGGAACACATAATGTCAAACAATCATTATTCTGACCATAGATAAAAAATCAACTTCCTCCTGATTCCACAGAAAAGGGCAATAATCCAATCCACATCCACATCATAATAACCTAATCCAATCCACATCATAATTTTTTTTGTTGCATGTCGTCATCATCATCATCATCATCATCATCATCATTTTAGCCATTGTCTACCTACTGCAGGATGAAGGCCTCTTCTGCATGTTTTCAACCAATACAGTCCTGAACTTTCCTTTTTTAATTGGTCCGCAATACTTGCTGATGTCATCGATCCATCTTATTTTAGGTCTCTTTTGTGGATGCTTTTTATCAAATGGGATCCATTCGATGATTGCCTTGGTCCACCTGCCATCATTCTTGCATTGCATTCTTGCATTCTTGCATTGTGACCAGTTTATTTCCATTTCAATTCTTTTACTCTCTTGATGATACCTTATATTTTCATTTGTTCTCTAACCTACGTGCAGGTTGTTCTACCTTGTCTTGTAATGCTGAGCATGTATTTTTCCATGGCTCTTTACGCCAATGGAAGGTGAAACAATAAAGGAAATTGAACGGCGTGTTAAATGTGGTTGGCAGGCATTCGGCAAGCTAAGCATAATTTTCAAGAACAACCTCCCCCTATGCCCCAAGAGAAAAGTTTTTGATCAATGTATGCTATCTGCTCTAACATATGCCAGTGAAACATGGACACTAACCTCACAATCAATTGCTGCATGTATTTGACCATAAGAACAATAAACCTTGGGGGTTGAATTGTGAAGCTATTAAGCTAGTTTTATTTGTGGAAGAACTGTTAGGGAAGCAAAACTTGGAAAATGAGAGTTTCCCCCAGTGAGGAACTGTACCAAAGCATTGCAAAAGACTAACTTTGCTGTGGTTGAGGCCGGTTTTGGCTTGTCTTCCATGCTTCAATAAAAGTGCATGTAAGTGACTATATTGTAATGGCCAATTTTTTTCTGCTTACAGAGTGGGCATATGCCTGCAGTCCGTATATGGGATGTTGCTGAGCGGACCCAGATGGCTGAACTTCAAGAGCATAAGTATGGAGTGGCATGTGTGGCCTTCTCACCAAGCTCCAAGTACATTGTCTCAGTGGGTTATCAGCATGACATGATAGTCAATGTTTGGTCATGGAAGGTAAATTATAGCAAGATTTCTTTTGTAGTCATCATGTGAGCATAAGTGAACTTGCAACTAGAAGTTGCATTATGCAATGCCTTCAGAATACCAATGCTGTTTCCTCACAGATAATCTACTCTGAGTTTCTGTCTCCCAGTTTGAGTTTGTTCTCGGTATATATAACAAGGATACACAGCCCGAGCTCCAAGGATTGTATGAATTCTTGAAAATAGATAGCACGTGAACTAGAGTCCTTCCTAAATTTGCAATCAAATAGAAGAATGTAATTTAAAATTTGGAGTGCAACCATTCTAATTATTTTTCATTATTTTAATTGAATTTAAAAGTCAATGATAGGTGATTACATTATGCCTGAAGGCCCTGACTCCTTTTGGGAATATAGGCTTCAGCTCAAAAAGTGGTGCTCACTTCACAGAAGATGTCTGAAAAAGCAGCAAGCTCTATGTTTGCAACAACTGAAATGAAAGGATGTTTGTAATGGAGGTGTGGGCTATATTTCAATGAGACAGAAATAATGTTTATTTAATGACTCCCCTTCTAGCTTTAAAAATGCTTAGAGAAATATTTCATTACTTTGGTTATTAGTATGTAGAATAAACATTTTTGAAATGGCAAAGCAGTCTAGCTAGGAAGATTCTCTCACCACTTCCACTTCTTGGTTTGTGCTAAGGCTCACATAATGAAAGATCACATCAGGCTGTTTCATCTCCTTTTCATTAGATAGGTAGATAGAAACTGCCTAATGCTGGGTCAGGCCACTTTGACATCTCATTCTGTCCTGGTCTGCAGTGATGGATACTGATTTTGAGCTGAAGATGCCAGAAGCCTTTTACATGTTTGGTACCATTGCCTTTTTCTTCTCAGTTTGGCTGGGTCCACTCATTGTACTAAGTCATGGTTTATTTTAAGAATGTGTAATTTTGTTAACTTTATTTGGCTGGGTCCACAGAACTAAAACAAACAATAATAACCCATGTTATGGCTCTGTTTGATGTTTATATTTTCGATATTCACTTTCAATGCAAAAAGCTATTAGATGTTTTGTTTTAAATAGCTGGTAATAATTCTGAGTTTTATTTGGTTTGCCCTCTGAAAAATAAGTGGCACAAAAGTACATGTCTCTTCAAGGAGCAAAGATTTGGATATTTTTTCTTTAAAGTCTCTTCAAAACATTGGATTATTCTTTGTATTGACCAGATATGTTAATAATAAAACTGGCTTCTACAGAGAGAGTATCTGTTTTTATTAGGAGTAAATTGTGTGCTTAATTTATTTCCTAGTATAACTGAAATGTGTTCAGTTTATCTGATTATATATGAGAAATCAGAACCACAAATGAGGTTATCTCAAGGGACTAAAATGGCAATGGTTTTATATGCCAAATTAATGCTGGGCAATTTTTTGTTGTTGAAGTTCAGTGTGGTAAGCTGTCATTGTTAAGTCTGGATTTGTTCATTCTTGTATAATCTTCTGTTCAGCACACTGTGCTGTTAGTCATAAATTGTTTCGCTGCTTTTTATCTGTGCATGTTTATTAAGTGGTGTCAAAAGACTTCTTTTCTGACCTGAATGAGTCAGGAGTAAATTTACTTCTGGGTTTCTGATATTAGAATGCAACTCCTAGCATGTATCTATGTAAAAGATTTTTCTTTAATATGGGGTAGCAGGAGACTATGTGGAGTAATGTTATGTTACCTCTGCAGAATTTAAGGTTAATATCAATGCAGATGCCTAAACCAACAGAAGGCCAAGATTCCTGCTTTCCTTCATAGCTCCTTGGATCATTAGGAGTCTGCACAAATTACATCACCATTGGGAATCCCCATGGAGCTCTTGTGTCCTAACTCATGTGACCATGGTAGTTGCAGGCCTTTTTCTGTCCATGAAGATTTCCCCTGTTCCTGCATCAGCCTTTGCTCTGTTCTGATTCTGTGACCTATCCCTCTTTATTTTACATGTTGTTACTTATGCCATTGGTAGCAACAATCCTAGCCCGATAATAGTAATATTTTTACTAACGCACATTTCAAATTTAATTCCTAGTCCCAAATGGCTACAAATACTATTGTTTGTTTCAGCAAAACACTGCAACTTTCTTCTAAATGTTTGTCCAGAAGGCATCTCTCTTTGTAACAGAATACAAATGTGTCCATTTGTCCATGTGAAAATATATATAAAAGTGAGCACAAAGTCTTTAAAACTAAAACAAGTGAGAGTATGCTAATATTAAGTCAAAAGAATTCTGCAAATGAGCTGACAGTCTGCCCGAATAATACAAAACTAATTTTTATCACTTGATCTGTGGGAGGTTGTAGCATTTTCATGCATACACTCTGGGAGGTATTGCTGTGTATTCCCAGAGATCTTGTGCATAAATCAGATAAATAGATTTAATTAGCAGAACATTTGACTTGCTCTACTGTTTTCTTTCCAGAAAAACATTGTTGTGGCAGCCAATAAAGTCTCAAGCAAAGTGACAGCAGTTTCATTCTCTGAGGATTGCAGCTATTTTGTTACAGCTGGAAACCGGCACATCAAATTTTGGTACCTGGCTGATAGCAAAACCTCTAAGGTAAAGGACGTTGTTGATGCTCTTGAAAGAAGGGGAGATATTCGTGACCAAGAGAATTATGTCAGATTTATGAGTATTTCTGCAAAGTGTTAATCAAACCATTCCAGTTTTCCAAAGCAAAACCCTCTTGACATGTTGTTCTTTCATGCCAGGTGAATGCCACGGTCCCCTTGCTTGGGCGTTCTGGTTTGCTCGGAGAATTGAGGAACAATTTTTTTACAGATGTGGCATGTGGCAGGGGTAAAAAAGCAGACAGCACTTTTTGTATCACTTCCTCTGGTCTGCTGTGTGAATTCAATGACAAGAGGCTACTGGACAAGTGGGTGGAATTGAGGGTAAGTAGCCTGTGGCACTTGGATATCTGTTCATTTTAGAGGTGAGAAGATCTTTCAGTTCTCCCAGCTTTCCTAGCGCAGGATTTTGAAAACATAGGGCGCAGAAATGGATGTCTGGATGGGATGATGTCTGGCACCTTCTGTATGAAAAAAAATGAGATCTAAACTAAGTAGCTAGGTATGAGCCATATAATGAGAACGATCAACCAATGGAACAGCTTGCCTTCGGAAGTTTTTTTTTTAATTTGATTTATATGCCGCCCTTCTCCGGAGACTCAGGGCAGCTTACAGTGCGTTAAGCAATAGCCTTCATACCTTTGTATATTTATACAAAGTCAGCTTATTGCCCCCACAATCTGGGTCCTCAATTTACCCACCTTAGAAAGGATGGAAGGCTGAGTCGACCTTGAGCCTGGTGAGATTCGAATTTACAGTAATTGTAGACAGCTGGTGTTAATCACAATGCTTTTAGTCTGCTGAGCCACCAGGCCCGTTCTGGGAAGTTGTGGGAGCTTCATCACTGGAAGATTTCAAGAAGAGACTGGATTGCCGTTTGTCAGAAATGGTGTAGTGGCTCCTGCTTGGGTGGGTGGGGGTTGACTAGATGACCTACAAGGTCCCTTCCAACTCTGTTAATCTGAATGTACTGTACAGATAGTCCTCCACTTACGACAGTTCCTTTAGTGATCATTCAAAGTTACAACATCACTGAAAAACTGACCATTTTTCACACTTGGACCGTTGCAACATTTCTATGAACGTGTGAACAAAATTCAGATGCTTGGCAACTGGTTCATACTTATGACCATTGCTGTGTCCTAAGGTCATGTGATCACCTTTTACCACTTTCTGACAAGCAAAGTCAATGGGGAAGCCAGATTCATTTAGTAACCGTGCTTACTAACTTAACAACTACAATGATTCACTTAACAATTGTGGCAAGAAAGGTCATAAAATGGGGCAAAATTCACTTAAATGAATTTTAGCAACATAAATTTTGGACTCAATTGTGGTCATAAGTTGAGGACCACCTATATAAGAATGGCAATCCTTCTCTCCAAGTATTTGCTCCTAACTAGTTTTGGGTATTAGAAGTGTATTTCATTAGGAGAAATCACTGAGGAGAAATAATGGGTGTTCTCTAGAAAAGTTCACCACCTTTTTTATCCGTGTGCTTTTAAATTGTATTCTTTTTCTCTGTTTGATATATTTTAACTATCACTTCCTGTAGTTGTGTAAATCTTGCAGAATTTGGCTCAGGCCAAAAATAGTCTCAAAACTGCTGGCGAACATGGCATCAGAAGGTACCTATTTCATTAGCAAACAGCCCATTCCTAATATAAGCACAAGCTATTTTAGATCTGTTCAGTTGTGTTTGTATCCATACAGCCATGCATGAGTACTCTGCTTCAGTTGCGTAACCAAGATAGAAAAAGAGTGATTGGTTGAAGTCCACCTGTGTGGAGGAACTTTCATGTAAATTGATTTTTCTCTGGACCTAAGTTTTTCCTTAGATCTGTGTCTCGATTTCCCAGTCTCTGTATATCCTGAATGATGTGTTATTGTTGAAAGACATTGTGAAAATCTTTTCCTCCTCATGAAATGGTAAATGCAAAGATTTAGGGCTTTTCTTCTTCTTTTTTTTAAATAAAGGAACCCACCTCCTAAGCCCTTGCTTACTCTTCAAACTGAATGCTCTCTCTTTCTCTCTTTTCCTTCTTTTCCTTTTGGCACTGAAAACACCCTTCTCTCTTAGAACACAGACAGCTTCACAGTAAGTTCTAATGTCTCTTGTTTCCGACACGCCATTGCCTTAGCATCCCTCCCATTTGTTGTCTTTTTTTTTTTCCTCTTTGCAATTGTGCTCACTGCAGTAGAATTTAAAAACTGGAATGAGATTGAGTCTTCCTCAGGAATTATGCCTATTTCTTCTGTTGCTTTACATAGTGTTAGTTCCCATTCCTAATACAAGGGAAATCTTTTTCAGTGAAGTACCCAAATCCCCTGTGTGCTAGTGTTGTTGTTGTTGTTGAATGCCGTTTTTCTGGTCATTCGGCCATGCTCATTCCATTTCAAAACTTTTTTCTAATCATCATTTTTTCCTCACTGAGCATGCTCAGTGTCCATTGATCAAATTGCTGAGTTTCTATGAGGTGGCTGTTATTTCACTCTGGTGTGGTGCTGATACAGTTTTGGATAGATAACTAGTGGCACAGGTTGTCTATTCTGCCTGTGGAATTCTGGGAGTTGAAGTCCCCATGTCTTAAAGTTGCCAAAGTTGAGACACACTAGTCTAATTAGTGAAAATAGCTTATAATAATAGTTCTCCTATAGAAACAGTTCTGTACCGGTAGTTAATGGAAGAATACCTCCAATTTAGTTTTTTCCTCTTATGTTTAATGATTCCATCTCATCTTGCTTCAGTTTTTTCCCTTCTTTCTTGACTACTATTTTCTTTCATGCTTTGTTGTGTTATGTAGTGGCTCATGCTTATATCTTATGTCCCCAGACCACTGTGGCAAATTGCATCTCCTTGAACCACGATTACATCTTCTGTGGCTGTGCTGATGGTACTGTTCGAATTTTTAATCCTTCAAATCTTCACTTTGTGACCACACTCCCTAAACCGCACTTCCTAGGGACGGATATCGCCAGTGTTACAGAAGCCAGGTAAGAAAAGTAAAGATCCAGAAGCAACTTGTATCAGAATTTAGCTTTGTTCTCCATCTTGCATTTGCAAATACATTTGTCAGCCACCCAGATTTACTTTGAGATAAGAAGGGAGGCAAATAAATTTTACAAATAAATAAATTTGTTCAGAGAGCAAGAGGGAAAAACTTTGCTTATGAAAGGGGTACTTTTACTTGTACTAAGCTGCAACTTCATCCCCAGTCAATGCATGGCATCATGTTTGAGGAGACTGGCAGAAATGGTTCTGGGACAGGGGTGGGTTCTAAATTTTTTTACTACTGGTTCTGTGGGTAGGCTTATTTTGTAGGTGTGTCTTGGAGGTCATGTGACCAGGTGGGCATGGCTAACTGGTCAGAGTCATTTCTGGAAGGTCCTCGCACTTACGACCAGTCCTCGCACTTACGACCCGACTCATTTGTTTGCTTTTAACACTGATCAGCTGTAGGATGGCCCTTTGAAACCCAGGGCAAGAGTTTAAACAGTTTTTTTCCCTCTAGTCATCAGCTGGGACTCAGGAGGCAGCAATAGATTGGGGGTGGGACCAAATAAAAGGTAAGAGTAACGTGGGGGTGTGTGGGAGGGCGGGGGGGGAGAACCGGTTCAGTGACGTCATATCGTCACCGCTACCGGCTCTGCCAAACCGGACCGAACCGGGAAGAACCCACCACTGTTCTGGGATAAATATGTCAACAGTTTGCCAAGGTGCAAAATAGTGCCATGCGTTAAAATATGTAAATCGCTTTGTAATTTTCTGATTTAGAAATATGTTGTAACTCTTCACTCTATTTCCTTTTGCTGTTTTGCATTTTTTTGGTAATGTTTATTGTTTATTCTTTCCTTCCTCAGCCAAATTCTAAGACAAAGTAGTAGAATGGTTTTCTATATTGGACTCACCTTTACTTTCAAATAGTCTCTTCCGAGAGGTCTCCTTCTCCGCATTGTATCTCTGGAGGCTTGTCTGTCTCCTGGCGATGACATGGGTAGTGCTTATTCTGGTGTTGCCAGTATTTCATATAATACAGCTGGCATTAGATATGGTGAAATCCTTGGGGTAACTTGACTGGCCAGGTTTCATCCCATCTCAAAAATATTTTGAACTACAGGTAGTTCTCAACTTACAACAGTTCTTTTAGTGACCATTAAATGTTACAACAGCACTGAAAAAAGTGACTTATAACCATTTTTCACCCTTACGACCCTTGCATCATCCCTATGGTCATATGATCAAAATTCAGATGCTTGGCAGTTGACTCATATCTGTGACGGTCATGTGATCACCTTTTGTGACCTTCTGACAAGCAAAGTCAATGAGGAAGCCAGAACTGTGTTGCTAATTGAACAACTGCCGTGATTCACTTAAGAACTGTGGCAAGAAAAGTTATAAAATGGGGCAAAACTCACTTAACAACTGTCTCGCTTAACAACATAAATTTTGGTCTCAATTGTGGTTGTAAGTTGAGGACTGCTTGTAGTCATCTTGGTATATTTCTAAAGTCCCCAGAAATTAAGCTCTGCCAGAGAAGACCCTTCTCTTTCTTTAGCTGGGGAAGAGGCTGAGGTAATTCCTTTTGTATATGTGACATAGAATATCACTCAGTCAAGAAGACGTAGACTGAGCATATCAGAGTCAGCAAGGTGAAGTCTATGAACGTTTTGAGCCAGCAGCCTGCATATTCACAACATCTTCTCTGAGAAAAACTAGACTGATATTTGAATTGAGAAAAAAATGTTTGGCAAACTTCAAATATCTCAACCAGTTTGTTTTTCCCTTCCCATCTCTCTGCCCACAAGATCTATTAATGCTTTGCAAGCTTTTAGCAACTGTTACTGGCAGAGGTTTACCATGCACTGCCATGGTAAACTAACAGAGAGAAATAGAAATAAGTAAAAATGTACAAAGCATCTGTCTGTGCTCTTGGAACATCCTCATGAGCTTTCAATACATTGACTCCTGGCCTCGGATTTTTTTTAGTGACTTGGAAAGGCTAAGGTACTGTGTAGCTTAAAATATGATCTGCCAGTTTAGTTTTAGAAGCTGTAAACTTGGAAAGCTATGCACGTGCACACTGTTGTTCCTTAGCTCATTTATAGTAAGCTCCCTTTGGACTGAAGTTTTGCCTTGCATGGCCAGATTTTTATGACAGACAGAACAAACAATTAATGAGAGCTGCATCTTAAAATTGGAAGGATTTGAATATGTGGAATTGCTCATGGAGCTTAGAGTTATTTCATACTCTTTAAAAAAAAACCCTCCTGTTATTGGATCCAGGGCCAGATTTAGATGAAAAGAGGCCCTAGGCCCATGATGGCAAACCTATGGCACGCGTGCCACAGGTGGCATGCGGAGCCATATCTGTGGGCACGTGAATGTTGCCCTAGCTCAGCTCCAGCACGCATGTGCATGCCAGCCACCTGATTTTCAGCCCTTCTGGGTCCAACGGAAGTCAGGAAACAGGCTGTTTCCAGCCTCCTGAGGGCCTTCGGGGGGTGGGGAAGGCAGTTTTCACCCTCCCAGGCTCCTAAAAAGCCTCTGGAGCCTGGGGAGGGTGAAAAACGGGCCTACCAGGCCCACTGTGCCAAAAGCGGGGAAGTGCGGGGGGGGGTCACACACATATGTGCAGGGGCGGCAGGGTGCATTGAATTATGGGTGTGGGCACGCACACGCACAAACCCCCTGAGCTCCCCCCACTTTTGGCATGCCATGGCAAAAAGGTTAGCCATCACTGCCCTAGGCTATTCCACTTATGAGGCCCTTTCACCTATAGTGAAAGTGTAATCAAGATCAAGAGGGGCCTACTTGATCTTGAGGCCCTAGGCTGAAGCCTAGTTAGCCTATAGGAAAATCCGGCCCTGATTGGATCAAGAAAACATACATTTTTAAAACCTGTTTAAATATATATGTATATATAAATATAAAATCTGACAATTTCAGGCTTGTAATGCGTTGCCAAGCACCCAAAAGCATATGGTTCTAATTTATGGGGTTTAGAGACTGATCAAAATGTATAGGTGTATGCATATTTCCTGCATCGGATGAGGAGAGCGCATGTTTCTCCTTCTGTCCTGGCCACTTTTTACAGGGGCACAATTAAGAGCGCTTTAACAAACTGTATCACTCTTTGGTTTGGTGGCAGCAGTACCTCAGATAGAAAGTCCATACAGAGAGAGGTAAGGACAGCTGAGAAGATTATAGGAAGCTCGCTTCCTGTTTTTCAGGATACTGCATATAAGCGCTATGTGCTTGGAGCTCAAAGCATTGTTAGAGACCCCATACATCCACTTTATGGTCTGTTTCTGTTGCTTTCCTCTGGGAGGAGCATTTCAAAGTATTTCTAGCAGGACTACCAGATTCTGTAACAGCTTTGTTCCCTATGCCATCCATTTGGTAAACTCGCAAGATTCGTTTTTCTCACCATGTACATGTATACATCCGAACTAGACTGTGTTATTTCTCTGTGTCATATAATATATGTGGGTTTATGCATACATTTGTATTTATTTATTTATTTTGTCATGTTTATGCAGTGTATATTGGAGGTGGTGACCCTTTGAGAGATGTATTCAACCAAATTTCATTTTAATGTATGCCGATTAGCGTACATTCAAAGTGACAATAAAGTTATTCTAAGTCATATTTTCCCCTGGAGTTTAAACGAAATTGAAATGCACCGTTGTCATGATAACCAATTCATGCAATGCATTCTTTGTGCCAAGGTTGTCTGGGCATTTCTAAGAGCTCACTGTTTTATTAAATACTTGACTCTCAGTACAGTACTATTATTATTCAAGCATTTTTTTTAAATGAGATGAACTGTGAGAATTGAACTACAATTTTGTCTGGGGGACCAACAGTATCTGACAGGGTTCACAGAAGAGATAGGGAAAGCATCCCATCCTCATGACTACCATCTACTCTTCAAGCAGGAGTTGGGAATGCAAAACAAAAAAACCCACACTGCACATCAGTTTTCTTTGGGGAGTGAACTAAACTGTGAACTGTCCAGAACTAAATAAGGCAATACCATAGATCTCTGTGGCCCTAAAACCCACAGTTGCTCAGTCTTGCTTGGGTTAAGCCAAAGCCTTTTTCTCCATCCTCACAGCTTTCTTGGCCTCACAGCCTCCAGACAATGGGAAAGAGACTAGAAGTGAAGTCAGCCTGGTGAATGTGGGTTGGTCTACGTGTGTGGCTGTGTGTGTTTGTACAATTGAGTATTATTGGTATACTTAAGATATTTAATCCTGCACTGATGGAATACCTCACACAACTGCTTAATGTAGCTATTAAACAGGAAGAGAATGTAGAGCTCTGAGGAACTTGGTAGAACAGGGTTCCAGGTGCAAATCTCTCTTCCTACTAACATCAACCAGAACCAACCTCAGAGAAAGGAGGAGAAACACTGCAACACTGTTCCTCACTCTCCCTCCAAAGCTGGTCCCAATGGATACTATGATTGATGGTCCTGAAAGCTGCTGAGAGGACTAGGATGGATGACCATTCCTATCCTGACCCCTCCAAAGGTCATCTATAAGTGCAATCAGTGCCATCTCAGGATTACATCTGGTCTGCAACTCAACAGTAGTAACGAGTAAAGCCCCAATATTATTGAAATAGGATAGGATAATGCCGTATGAAACCAAATCTGTTCAGTCTGAGATCTGATTACAATTTAAGCTATTCTTGTCTGACTGAAGGAAAGAGATTAGATCTGCTGGTTTTAGGGGCAGCTAAGTCATACATTCATATGGCCATAAGCCACCACACACTCACAGTCCATTTGAAATACGAGGATAACAATGCTGACTGAAATGACTAACAGCATGCAAATATGTATGTAAAAAAAATACTAGTAGAACAGGAAAATGTCTGTGTTTGTTTCCTTTTAGCAAACCTGCTGTCTTTTGTACCTTCATATATTGACTATTCAAAAATTATCCATTGTATTATCTTTTTGCAGTCGGCTTTTCTCTAATGTGACTGATGCCAAGTATCCAGACACCATTGCCTTAACCTTTGATCCGAATAACCAGTGGCTGTCTTGTGTTTACAATGATCACAGCTTGTATGTGTGGGATGTCAAAGACCCCAAGAAAGTGGGCAAGGTTTATTCTGCGTTATACCACTCCTCCTGTGTCTGGAACATTGAGGTAATGTTAAGTCACAAATATTGATACAGATCAGGGGTGGGTTCTACTTACCTTTACTACCGGTTCGCAATGGGGCCGCGCGCATGTGCGCGCTTCGCTTGTGCGTGCACTCTTTTACGTATGCGCAGAAGCATTTTGATGATGTCGGGGTCGGTGGGCGGAGCTTCCCACCAGTTTTACTACCAGTTCTATAGAACCCACCACTGATACAGATGCAATGAGGGTCACCAATAGTATCATTTCTGATTTTCTACAAAATTAATGTGTTTCAGAATTAAAAAGGCACTTCCTCTTATGGCAAGAATTCCAGTGTGGTTTTTCTTTTTTCTTATAACTGGATATCTCTGCATTTTTTGGTTCTTAGGTATTATTTAGGTTATATTTTTCATACACTAAAGATTAACCATTTAGAATTAATGGAAAGGAAAAGAAAAGGAGAAAATCTATATTTCTTTAGCCACATAACTAAACTTGTGTATCTGCTAGAATGTAGACCAGCCTTCAGTCAATAATACAAAGCAACTGTTTTAAATGAAAACCTAGATCTGGGTAATAAAAATTTAGATTTTTCTGACTGCTTCTCTCCAGTAATGGTCTGTGTGGCTGCAGGGTAAACACATTCTGTTGATTTTCCATTACAAAAATATATTCAAACCTTGAATTATTGTCCCTGTTCTTGGTGTTAGTTATTTGTTTAGTGTTCTTCCAAAATCCAGTTAAAATTAAGGTACTTTACTGCATGCATGTCCTGAATATCTTTACATATTGTCTTGATTAATCCTCTTTGGAATTAGAATAAAGGTTCAATTTGCACCTTCCTTCTTGTTATCTCAATTATGGCAGTAGCCAAGTGCTGCGCCCTGCTGGCCTAGATGTGTAAGAATGCTCAAAGGATAATGAAATACAGTATGTGGTGGTTTCATTTGCATCAGAAAAGAATCTTTGGGATCCCTATTGGCAAATTCCTATAGAAAGGTATCACAGGTTATCTGTGATTAGGTATGCCACAGTATCCCAATCACATCATTCTGTGAAGTTTGACTCTGATACTGTAAACAGTCTTGGTAAAACCAGCTTCAAAGATTAACAAAATGGTGTTTGTATACCTTGATAATTTGGGGGAGCAGAATATTTTCATAGAAATGGAAAGAGTGAGGAGTTTTACCTCTCTCTCATACCTGTGAACAAGCAGTAAGGAGGCCTGTTTTTTCTCTTGGGTTCAGTCCTTCTTTGACAGTTAAAACCACCAGCATCCCCAGTTTTGGAGAATATAGACTATGTTTCTAATTCTATTACAATTTTCCCCCCCTAGGTGTATCCTGAGGTAAAGGATAGCAATCAATCTTGCTTGCCCCCAAACACCTTCATCACTTGCTCCTCAGATAACACCATCCGCCTGTGGAACACTGAGAGCTCAAACATCCATGGAGCCTCCTTGCATCGAAACATCCTGAGCAACGTAAGACTGTCTGAGCTCAGGATAGATCACATGGCTTAATCTTTGATTTCAAAATGAAGTAGAAAAGAGCAGTCCATTGCATGCAGAATATTTATTTGTTTAGACAATTTTGAGACGGCCCAACTCTGGGTGGCTTACATTTTATTTATTTTACACATTGTCTTGTCAATGCAGGGTTTTTTACTTATATCAATAACTAAAATAAGGTTCATCTATGAAAGCTACCTTGGAATATTGCTATTTCAGTCTCCCAGAGTATACTATATGTTTGTATTTGTGTATGCGTCCATCCACTTTTTGAATGAATAATGTGTGATTGCTTCATTAAGTGGTTCTTTGCAACTATACATGTATGTTGTTGATGTCTTGTGAGTATAGCATTAAAATAATATACGTGTACAAATCAGCTGGCTAAGTATGAATGGCATAATGTTGTCTTAAGTGTCCCAAAATGGTTTAGGCATTCTGGTATTTTGTTTTCTAGGAAAGAATCAAACAAAGTTGGAAATGTAATTGTAACATTACCTAAATAACTTTATCTCAGAACTGATTTGAACAGATGCTATTTTCTTCTTCTCTATCTCCAGTTTTAATGCATTCAACCGTGTATCTATAGAACCATGCGGTGGAAAAAAATGGGCTTGAAACAAATTAGTTACATAATGCTATGGGATTTACAGCACTTTTTTTGGGGGGGGGCAATTTTTATTTCCACAGTGCATTACAGGGCCTTGTGCAGAAACTCTTTCTGAAGTTATATTCTTGCATTACTGTCCTGTATCCATGTACATTTTTAGCCTTATAGCCTTTTTTTAGTTGTATCTAGTTTGATTATACCTGACCAAAATGTAATATTATTTTCAAACTCTGATTCAGAGGGCTCAGTTAAACTTGCTAGAAAGATTGGGTGTTTTTTTTGTTTTTGTTTTGCTTTGCCATGGTGTTGTGTATTTCCAGTTTGTCTCTTTGTTGCTAATATTAAGAGAAATATTAGCATTCAATACTGCTTTTATTCTGTGCCTTCCTTTGCTTTCATCTGCTTGCTTCAAATGGAATCTTTTGTTTTATCTCATTAGGATTTGATGAAAATCATCTATGTAGATGAAAACACTCAGGCCCTCTTGGACACAGAATACAATACAGCTGGAGGTGTAGAGAAGGCTGACACACAGGCCATAGATACAAAAGTGGGGATTCGCACAGTGTGTGTGAGCCCTACTGGGGAGCACCTGGCCTCAGGTGATAGGATAGGCACTCTCAGGTAAACCTTGGAGTTTTGAAGAACGTGTCCCTGCGTAATAACACCAAAAGAATCCTAACTGCTTACTTGCTTGTATCATTTTCAGGATATATGAATTGAAGCCCCTGAGAGAGATGCTGAAGGTAGAAGCCCATGACTCAGAAATCCTCTGCCTTGAATATTCCAGACCAGAGACAGGTAAGATTTGACTGACTGATTCATTAATCCATTCATCTTGTATACTGGTTTCCATAGAACTACTGTTACTTAACAGTGTTGTACAAATATTACATCCAAAGTAAATTAAGTAAGTAAGTAAGTAAGTAAGTAAGTAAGTAAGTAAGTAAGTAAGCAAGCAAGCAAGCAAGCAAGCAACCTAGAACTAAGGAGAAATTTCCTGACAATGAGAACAATTAACCAGTAGAATGGCTTGCCTTCAGAAGTTGTGGTCCTCCATCACTGGAGGCTTTTAAAAAGAGACAGCCGTTTCTCTGGAATGGTATAGGGCAGAGGTCTGCAACCTTAAATACTCAAAGAGCCATTTGGACCCGTTTCCCACAGAAAACACCGGGAGCCACAAAACCCTTCCTGTGCCTGACTATTTATTGAGCAGCCACAAAACTAGCATATGTAGTTGAATTAAATGTTCTGTTTTCTTCTGAAACTTTTCTTTTCTTGGATTTATCTATGGTTGGCCTACTGGGGGTTGAAAAGCTCAATAAATCGTGTGTCGGTGAGTGTCTCACATTGGTGGTTGTGACACATATTTTGAATGACAGGGAGCTGCAGCAGAGGGGTGAAAGAGCCACATGCAACTCCAGAGCCGCAGGTTGCTGACTCCTAGTATAGGACTCCTGCTTGAATAGGGGCTTTAGACTAGAAGACCTCAAAGGTGCCTCCCAACTCTGTTATTCTGAAGTAGCATTAAAACATCCAAATAAAAATCATTTAACATAATATAAAACAGTAAAAAATTAGATACAATTAAATCATATTCAGTCTTGGATAGTGACACCCGAGAGAAATTCTCAGGATTAACTATGTTTAACTCCAAAGGACGTACAATTTTCCCAGCCTCCATGATATAGTGGCTTCATGCTTTCCTGCTCTTCCTGTTCTGCCTCTGCGGTGCACTATGCTTCACCCTATTATGAAGAGAAACATGGGTTATTCATATTCAGGATATTAACTTCACATTCAGGAGTTCGTGTCTCCTATACCTTTTGGTTAGGAGTTTCTTGATTGTCATTTCAGACCTAAACCATGGAATTTGCCACCACATGTTCACATTTGACAGATTAATTTCAGGTGTTTAGCTATGATTAGCACTGTGGTTACACCTTATTAAAAGCTTGTCAGATTGCAATCCAGTCCTTTCAATTTTCTCCCAGCATTAAATATATATATTATATATTTGTTCAACTTGTATGCCGCCTTTCTCCGAAGACTTGCTTACAATGCATTTAAAAACCATATATAAAAACATTAAAAATTAAAACATTAAAAACAATTAAAACCCATTCACACCATTCATGGCCGGATCTCACCAGATTGCAAGAGCGAGATCAACGGCTCCAGGCCTGCCGGAAGAGCCAGGTCTTCACCGCTTTTCGGAAGGCCAATAGGGTGGGGATGGTCCGGATCTCAGGAGGTAACTAGTTCCAGAGAGCTGGGGCAGCCATAGAGAAGGCCCTCCCCTGCGGGCCTGCCAGCCAGCATTGTTTAGCTGATGGGACCCAGAGGAGACCAACTCTGTGGGATCTTATCGGTCACTGGGAGCTATGCGGTAGAAGGCGGTCTCGAAGATAACCTGGCCCTGAGCCATGTAGGGCTTTAAAGGTAATAACCAACACCTTGAATTGTGACCGGAGACCAATAGGGAGCCAGTGCAGCTCACGGAGAATTGGTGTAATGTGGGTGTACCTAGGTGCACCCATGACAGCTTGCGCGGCTGCGTTCTGGACCAACTGTAGTCTTCGAACACTTTTCAAGGATAGCCCCATGTACAGTGCGTTGCAATAATCTAACTGTGAGGTGACAAGGGCATGAGTGACTGTGAGGAGAGCCTCCTGATCCAAGTAGGGTTGCAATTTGTGCACCAGGCGAACCTGTGCAAAGGTCCCACTAGCCACAGCTGACAGATGTTGCTCTAATCTTAGCTGTGAGTCTAGGAGGACACCCAAATTGTGAGCCCGTTCTGAGGGGGACAATTTCTCCCCCCCCCAGAACCAAGGATGGACAATCAACATAGTCTGCCACTGTATCTGGCATTCAGTTAAGGTACTTATGAGCATCTTCACTGAAAGATTGCTTTTGGATTCAGAGGATCTCACTCTCTTCTTCCTTGAAGTAGAGTTGATGATCAGGCCCCTGCTTCACTGATGAAAGACTGAAAGCCCAAATGGCACATTTTTTGGGCCTACAAGTAAAGCAATTAGCTCAGGCTATTTTGGAGTCAGCTTTCCAGCTGAGGCATGATATAGATGTACTCCTGGTTGCCATTCCTGCACATTCTGCATTATTCAAAAACATTATAAATCTTTCCAAAGTTTTATGCTTTTTATTTCTTGCCATTATAAACAATCTGTGCTAATAACAGAATGAGAATCACCTAATTTTGTTTTACCGGACTCCTGCCCAGTCCCGCTGTAATAGAAATTTCCCAGATCCATTCAACAGCATTGGGAATGTATACCTATTCTAACAGTGAATGTCCTTAAAATTGTAATAGGGTCTGTGTAGATTGCTTATCCTTATGTGAATATTGCTTTTTTTGTCTGGGATTTTGTCTCAGTCTCTTCTCACTAGTCCTGTTTCTGATGAAGATTATTGCAAAGGTCTTGGCATTGTTCCTTGGTATTCCTAATAATTCCATGAACCATCTGTGTTCTGCAATTGTCCAAATGCCAGTCTATTCATCAATGATTAGCCAAAGAACCTCAGTTTCAGATAAATAAGCATTCTGCTCCTTTTTAATCTCCTTAACAGGATTGAAGCTTCTAGCATCCGCAAGTCGGGATAGATTGATTCATGTCTTGGATGCAGAGAAGGATTATAGCCTACAACAAACCATGGATGAACATTCATCTTCCATAACTGCAGTGAAATTTGCAGGTACTACAATTTTGTTTATTTATTTGCTAGTTTGATAGCAGCTCTTGGTGATCTACCAAGGTTTTTTCACCCAGATCCAAGTTCTTGCCCTTATTACTAATTATTCACAGTGGCGCAGTGGTTAGAATGCAGTACTGCAGGCTACTTCTGCTGACTGCTGGCTGCCAGCAGTTTGATTCTCACTGCCTCAATGTTGACTCAGCCTTCCATCCTTCAGAGGTCGATAAAATAAGGACCCAGATTGTTGGGGGCAATATGCTGACTCTGTAAACCGCTTAGAGAGGGCTGTAAATTACTGTGAAGCAATATGTAAGTCTAAATGCTATTCCTATTGCTATCCCAATAGTGAGAAAACAACTTGTAAACATAAAGCCAGGGCTATACAATATACCATAAGGAAGGCTGAATGCCAATGAATTGAGGAGTGACAAATGGCTTATCTAGAACAGGGTTCTCCAAACTTGGCAACTTTAGAATTCTGGACTTCATCTCCGAGAATTCTCCAGTCAGGCTGGGGAATTCTGGGAGTTGAAATCCATAAATCCTAAAGTTGCCAAGTTTGGACACCCCTTGATCGAGAAAAACTGTAAGGCATGAGTAAGAGTACATAGATGAAATTAAAAAGCATTTGATTGCCCATTTTCTCTTCCTTCAGCCAACGATGGAAAGGTGAGAATGATCAGCTGTGGGGCTGATAAGAGCATCTATTTCCGCACTGCACAGAAGGTAATTCCATTGGAGTAGTCACTCTTTATGAAACGTGTTGTAGATTCTAAGGGGGTGGGGTAATGGAAACAAAGGCTTTGGACAATATTCTAGGCCTCATGGCTTTCTTTCAGTCAATACATTTTTTAAAAGTCAAATGTTAGGAACTGTATAATAGCACTGATCATAGAGTAGTTTGATCATTGTCTCATTGTAGTCTTTTCTTTCTTTACATTTCCTGGTGAGACACCCATAGTTCCTTTGGGGGGTGGGGGGAAATATTGTACATGCACAATGATACTATTTGATTAAATATTGTGGAGATGTCATTGCTATTGTATTTCTTACTTTTAGACAAATGATGGGGTTCACTTTACTCGTACACATCATGTTGTTAGGAAGACTACTCTTTATGATATGGATGTGGACCCTAACTGGAAATATGCTGCTATTGGATGCCAAGACCGTAACATCAGGTTAGGGGGTTTTTTTTTGTTTTTTTTTTGGTAGATACTTACTTTACTTTATTGTTTAGCCCTTGGGCCATATCAAAGTGCAGAGTTCCAGACACAAATTATTACTAAAAATCTGATAAAAACAATTTAAAATGGAATTGGATAAAATACAATTTAAAATGAAATTGGAATAAAATACAATTTAAAATGATAGCTTTGATTAGCCTATAGGCTATATCAAAGCACAAGGTGAAAACACTTATCACCAATAAAATCGTATACAAACAATTTAAAATAAGAGTAGGGTAAAATACAATAGTTATAGGATAAGATACCGTATTTTCTGGCGTATAAGACGACTGGGCGTATAAGATGACCCCCCCCCAACTTTTCCTGTTAAAATATAGAGTTTGGGCTATACTCGCCGTATAAGACTACCCCTCTTCCAACTCACACCAAATAAAAATAAAATAAAATAAAATTAATAAATAAAATAAAATAAAATAAATAAAAATACACACACACAACACAACACAACTGGCTCACCCACAATATAAAAGCAGCTGTGCTAGACCCAAAATGGCCCCTGCAACAAGCAGGAACCTCACACAGCCACCAAAAGTCCCAAAAACCAACTTTCACACTTTACACACACAAAATTCCACATACAGCTTTGTGAGATTTTGAGTGTTTGTGTAGTTAGAGTGAAACACTACAGAAACACTCAAAATCTCAGAAAGCTGCACAAATATTACTTTATTTTATTTTTATTTTTATATAAAAGCAGCTAAATTTAAAACTTCCTAAACTTTAAATGGCTAGGTCTAAAAAAAGAACAACTAAAAAAAACCCCAATTAACTTTTTTTTTTAAAGCTCCCAAAGGGGGGAAAAACTTACCCAGTAGAACAGGGGTTTCCAACCTTGGCAACTTTAAGACTTGTAGACTTCAACTCCCAGAATTCCTCAGCCAGCTTTGCTTTGCTGGCTGAGGAATTCTGGGAGTTGAAGTCCACAACTCCCTGCCTGCTTGATTGCAGGCAGGGAGATTCAGTTGCTTGCTGATGCAATCGATTGCAGGCAAGTGAAGCAAGTGCGACTAGCAGCTAAGATAAGCAAGCTGGAGGGGGGGGATTTTTGCTACCGATTAGCAGTCAGTCAGAGCCATTTAAAAGAAAAAACAGGCAACTCAGCTGGGATGGTCAGAGCTTGGCTTGTCAGAGCCTTTCGGCTGGTCTGCCTGGTTACAGAAAAACGACACCCGGCGTATAAGACGACCCCCCGACTTTTGAGAAGATTTTCATGTGTTAAAAAGTCGTCTTATATGCCGTAAAATACAGTAAAATATAATTTAATACATAAATATATAAAATAGAATAAAATGACATAAAATTATATTTTGGTGTCACCCTTACAATCTACTCCAATCAGTCCCACGTATGCAGATCTCAACCGAACCATTTTGTTTAAGTACTGTGCTGTGTTGAATGTTATTTTCAGCTTCTGGCCGCACATAAAGTAAGTTGTTTTGATATGGGGATCCCAATGGGTCATTCGTTTGGTATATGGACCAAGATAATCAGGTCAGTTCATAAATCATAATAGAAGCTTCCTAGTTCAAATGTATCTGGAAAGCTTATATTTTTAAAAGTATATTATTAGAAGGAAATTAAATTTTGACCTAGCTAGGACTTGTCAATTTGATACACATGTTGCCTAGATATTCTATTAAACCTAATCTTTCTTTGTTTTTCTGAGGAGACACGTGTAATTTTCATCTTATTTTTTTTAACGAGACTTTTAAGTGTTTAATTAGCTTTTTCCCTATAGAAGTTAAAGTTATGACTTTGAACATTTTGATATTTTTCTTATCCTCATGATTTGGAGCAAGCCTCACCAAATCCACTGGACCTACCTTTGAATAGGTATATCTAGGATTCCAATGTACAAATAGTTTTTGACTTACAACCACAATTGGGACTGAAATCTCGGTTGTTGAGTGAAGTTGTCATTAAGTTAGACATCCATGTGATTGCTTTGCTTAATGACTGAAATCCCAATACTCCTTGTTGTGGTTGTTAAGCAATGTCCAGGTTATTAAGCAGACAGAACAAAAGAGCTGCCTGCTGAAGGATTTCAGCTCCCCTCCATATGTGGAGGGGAACTCCTCCAAAGGGCTGCAGAAATGGAGCAATGATCTTCAGGATCTGAGCTCCGTTTCTGTAGCTATGGGATGGTATTCAGCTCCCCTCTATGTGCAGAAGAAAAGTCCTCCGTCAGGCAAATGTGGAGATCAGACCCTTAAGAGCTTAGCTCTGCTTCTGTAGCCTGGAGAAAGAGTTCAACTACCCTTGACTGGCAGCCCCTTAAGGCAACCCCCAAGGATGAGAGGGAGTCTTATCTGCAGATGGCAGAGTTTGCAACCTTCCCTGCCAGCTTTCCTATTGACTTTCTGGGGAAGCCATCAGAGAAGATTGCAACTGGAGATTACATGATCATAGAACGCTTGGCAACTGGTCAAAGTGCGAACAGGTTGCAAATCACCTGAAATGCAATTATGTGACTGCAAGGTGTGTTTGTGATGTTTTACGATAGTTGGAAGTACATTTGAGGTACCGTGGTTCAGAATGTTTTGTCCTATGATGCACTGTTTTGCCTACTTAGGCATGAGTTGTTGTAGTACAGAGATAGAGGTATTTTTTAAAAGAGATATACAAATTCATTGAGATAAAGCTATTTTTGTTAGCTATGAGCAACGATATGGAATTTATGCATTCAGCATTCAGGTGTATGAACAATATTGTACTCATTTTGATAATTTTCCAGAGACATTTTGCTAATTGCTGTAAAACATAAATAAATAGCTTTGCTTTGATTTAAGAGTAGAGGAGTTTCTTTTTATTGTATGTCTGAATTTCTTTTTAGGATTTTCAACATCAGCAGTGGGAAGCAAAAGAAACTATACAAGGGATCTCAAAGTGAAGATGGCACTCTAATTAAAGTAAGGCCTTTGTTAACTCCGCCACAACCAATTGTGTCGTATTCCATCTTATTCTCTATTCCCCATTTCCTTGTTTTATGCCCATTATGCTTTTCCAGCTTAACATTCTAATTGGAGAGTAAGATTTTAAGTTAGTTCTATTTCATATGGAATACTTATTAACACCCTGCAGTACGGCATTTACTGATGGATTTGTGTAAGATACAAAATGGTTAATAGAGTGGCGAAACATTCCAGCTGCAAATTAAAGAAAAGCTCATGAAGACAAAGGAGAGCAACATCGATGTCTAGTCTCCCAGAAATTAGCTGAGCTTCATAAATTTTACATTTTGAAACTTTCTGCACTAACAATGGAAGCGCATATGAATAATGGCTTAGAGAAGTTCTTTAATCTATGCCTTTTTTTAAAAAAGCAGCAGCTGTGTCTAATTTCCCTGTTGTTGTTCTCAACTGACCCATATACATAAAAATCTGATTGTGCTGCATAAGCAATATTTAATACATATGCATTCTTCTCATTGTATATGGAGCCTTACAAATCTTGGAACTCTCTCTCCAAGAACTTGGGAGGTTCCTGCGTACTGTACGTGACAGTTTTATGATCGCTTTTTTTCAGTACCTGAAGCTGTTTTCTAGTTTGAGGATCCCCAGAATTTCTTCCAGGAAAAAAAAGAACACTTTTCTGGCAACAGTGTGTTCCTCAAGTATTTCCACAAGAGATCAGGGAATAAGCAGTTTATGCCTAAATCAGTGCTGCGTATCCTTGGATGGTTCTTTCATTTTCTAATCAACACAGATAGCAGTAACATAAGTAATCCCAAAGGTGCTTTTTCAAGAGGCAACTGGACTTTCTGGTTGTTTCTTTGAAGATGTTTTGCTTCTCATCCAAGAAGCTTCTTCAGCTCTGACTGGATGGTGGGGTGTGGAAGGATTTATTATGCTTACTTTATATTCCTTTAAATCCTTCCATTCCCCACCATCCAGTCAGAGCTGAAGAAGCTTCTGGGATGAGAAGCAAAACATCTTCAAAGAAAAACCAGAAAGTCCAGTTGCCTCCTGAAAAAGTACCTTTGGGACAACCATGACCTGGATGACTGAGAAGCTCCATAGACACTTAATATAAAAACAAACTTAACATTTCAGATACTAAAATGCATTCCTGAAACTACATATTTTGTTATGTTTGTGATCTGGTTTTTTTATATAACTTTATAACAGCAGATATGTTTGCTTGTGCTCTTATTCATACATAAGGGTCATGTTTTCACCTAATGCATTAGTTACAAATACGAGTTGAAGGAACCATAATTTGTCAGAAACCTGCATCATGATTTATGCAGGCCTTTGGCAAATGATGAGTTGCAAATACAGACATCGCATTGATTTACCCTCTAATAAAGATAAACACATAGATCCAAGCTGGTTCAAATTTTCTGGCTTGAATCCACTCTGGGTTTTGCATAATCATAGTGGGAAAAACTGGTGTGGTTGCAAATACAGATTGCAACATAAAACAGCCTTTCCCAACCTGGTATTCCCAGATGTTTTGAGCTAATTGTATTTTCCCAAGATGGGTGTAGCTGGCACGAAGTATGAAAGAGTCATTAAGTATAGAGCATTAGTTCTTCGTGCTTACCAAAACTACATATCCAATTTTCTAAAGCCTAGAAATTATACCACAGATAACCATGCATGTTTTCCCCCTCCCTCCCCTTTCTCTGTTGTTTGTTCAGGTACAAATGGATCCTTCTGGTCTGTACATTGCAACCAGTTGTTCTGACAAGAACCTTTCTATCTTTGATTTCTATTCAGGCGAATGTGTAGCCACAATGTATGGGCACTCAGGTAATGCAAAAATATGCTTTCAAAAACAGTTCAAGTTTTGGGTGGGGAGGAAGTTTGGAGGGGCAAGTGTAGCAACCGGCTCAAGACTACACTCATGTTTGGTTTGTTGGAAATTGTGCAGTTGTGAAACTTCCGGTGTAGAAGTAGAGTTCGATTCCATCAAGGATCCCTCCCCCCAAAAACTGGAAATGATTGTGGTTTATCTTTTAAAATGATTTCTCATTTAAAAATTTTAAAAGATAAAATCCAGCTGTTAAATGATAGAAGCAGTTTTGATTTCATGAGATATGTAGATGCTTTGGTAGATGAGATGGTAGCTGTGTTTGTTTATAAAAATATTTTTTTTAAAAAAACTAGGCCAATGGAATATTTTAAGAATAGATTTATCCTCTGCTTTTTGGCTAAAGACCTTAAAACAGCTCTTAATGGTAATAATATATAATAAATATATTACTAACTGTATCCTTAGTCAGACAGTTTTGTGCAGGTACCCCCTATTGAATGTGCCTGCTGTTCCTTCTGCAGGACAGTTGGTGGCCACTGGCTCTGTTCAGAGTAGCCCTGCAGGAAGCAGCCAGATGGCAGTTCCTTTGTTCACCTCCCTAGCTGCCCTCTTAGTAGTCCTTCAGACTTGAACTCTAGGTTTGAAGTACAGGTAGTCCTCGACTTACAACCACAATTGAGCCCAGAATTTCTGTTGTTAAGTGAGATATTTGTTAAGTGAGTTTTGCCCCATTTTATGACCTTTCTTGCCACAGTTGTTAAGTGAATCTGGCTTCCCCATTGACTTTGCTTGTCAGAAAATCACAAAAGTGGGTCGCATGACTTTGGGACACAGCAACGGTCATAAGTATGAACCAGTTGCCAAGCATTTGAATTTTGATCACATGATCATGGGGATGCTGCAAACATTATAATGGTGAAAAACAGTCATAATAAACAAGCCATTGTAATTTGAATGGTCACTAAACGAACTGTTATAAATCGAGGACTACCTGTATGTGTAAAGATCATGAGAAGAAATGCCAAGGATCTCCAAGCTACCACATGGCTGTTGTTTTGCACCAGGAAATTTTAAAAACTGTTTGGCTTGTTCTTCTGATTTTTACAGAGATCGTAACTGGGATGATGTTCAGTAATGACTGTAAACACTTGATTTCAGTCTCTGGTGACAGGTACGTGAAAGGATATTCTTTATTTAAATTTCATCTGTAAAATGAAACTTAGCATTTCCCATTTTAAACAATGGAGATGGATTTGAAAATTAATTTTTAAATGAGAGTTCTTAGGTAACTATTCTACCTGCTTCGTTTTCTGCTTTACACTCCTGGTCATTAAGTTTCAAATTAAAATGGAGATTCCTTAAGTCTGAAAAGAGGATGTGAAATGCTGCTTTCTTGAGCTGAACAACTGACAGGCTATATACGCTCCTCACCTGAGTCATTTTTATGGCTTTCAAGGCCTTCCAAGATTACGCTGTTGAAATCTAGAACCCAAATATTGATTTGCTGTGGTGCAATTGCTGGCTTTATTTAGGGAGGGACAGTAAAAATAAGCATTTCAATGTATCTATTTTCCACTTGTCTACGAGTCCCCCAAAGCTCCCATCAAAAATTTAACCACCATTATGTGGCACCATTGCCATACTTTCCAAATGATGTAATTTTTTTAATGAAAGTTTCACCTTTTATATAAAGAGTTGCCTGATCTAAAGTAAAAAGTATATTGAAATGGAGAATGCAACTTAAATCTAGAAGCTTATAGTTTTTGAAGTACTAGCATAAAAATAGGAAGCCTAAAGATGAATATTGTCCATAGGGGAATGCATATGGAATAGGGGGATACTTTATGGAATCTAAGGTATATAGACAACAGACTATGATGCCTGGATTAAAATGAATATTTTCCCCCTTCTGCTTTCAGCTGTATTTTCATTTGGCGTCTGAGTTCTGAGATGACTATCAATATGCGTCAGCGGCTGTCTGAAATGAAGCAAAGGGGAAAACAAGCAGAAAAAACTCAACCAGGCAAAACAGCTGGTCTTTCCAGGTATGACATAGTGTTAGTATCGCTTTTAGTTTATAAAAGGTTTTCTGACCAGACTGTATAATATTATGACAGGTGTCTTCTTATCTGAACAGCGCTATATTTATTATTACAACACATTGACATTTTTGGTGGCAATTTAAGTGCGAGAATATATAGATTTAGTATTAGAGTCAATATTAGAGCCAGAGTTACATATTTGCCTTTTTAAATCATATTTTTAAAAAGTCTTTGTGCACTGTTTATTAAGATATTTTGTTTTCTTTATACATTTTATATGTACCATTTTTTCTGTACACATTTGTACTCTTTTTTCTGGAGAACTTACTAAATTTAAAATTGCACAAAATTACATTTTGTTCTGTATATTAGTTCAAGAAACATGAATTGAGTAACTTTCTATTAAAACACAAAATGACTTGATTGAAAAACCTGATCTCGGCTTGTCCACCCAACCGCTCTAGCAGCAAACAGTAACCCGAAGGAAACGAAGCAGTTTGTAGCATCTTTAATCAGACACCTGATTTGATTCAGAGTTGTGAATCCGTTGGGAAGAACATGTTTATGTACTCTAGTTATCGAAATTGTCAATTTTAGATCTTCCAACTGTTTGTGTTTTAAAGTCACTTCAGTAAGAGACCCAGCTGAATCTTATTCAAATTGTATTTCTGAACATGATGGATTAAATGACCCTGTCAAGCAAATGAACGAATGAATGAATGAAAGATATGGTTAATCTTTTCATATTTAGAACTATGTAAAGGAAAACTAAGTTGGATGTTCTCATCCTCTCACCTAGATGCTTGCTTCTTCTCATTCCCTTTAAACATTCTTAATAAGCCTTTATCCTGAATTCTGTTGCAGATAGTTCATGTATATAGTATGATCCAAATATCTGTTCTAGGTACAGAAAAACAAATAATATTTCTTAAATACTTCTGCTCAATACATAAAACATGCATGTTAGCAGTACTAGGGTTTATTTTAGAGTGGAAAAAATTCCAGTTGCAGACAGACTTATGGAAGTCAGGAAAAAGAAAAAAAGAAAAGTAAGTGACTGGGGGCTTTTTGTGTCAAAATTAATTTACATGGATATGAGAAACTGGGATAATTGGCTCCTCAAGATTGATGTTCTATTTGCTGTTGTATATTGTTGTCCCTGAATCCCATTATGTCCATTTATTCAGCTCTATTTTAATTTCTAATCTTCCACGAGTCATCCAAAGTCACTGGTATGAAACTGAGTAAATAAATACACCAGTGGTGGAATTCAAATTTTTTTTACTACCAGTTCTGTGGGAGTGGTTTGGTGGGCGTGGTGTGGCTTGGTGGGCATGGCTTGGTGGGCGTAGCAGGGGAAGGATACTGCAAAATCCCCATTCCCACCCCACTCTGGAGCCAGCCAGAGGTGGTATTTGCTGGTTCTTCCGAACTACTCAAAATTTCTGCTACTGGGTTCTCCAGAACCTGTCAGAACCTGCTGAATTTCACCCCTGAAATACACACTTCCTAATCAAAGTTTTCCTTAAGCGTGAAAAGTGAAAAGTATTTAACTTCTTTTAAAAATAATGCTAACCATGGCCTGTTGGGATTCTTATCATCTAAATTGAAGGTTTCCCAGGTGTAATGGGGAGTGGGCAACCAGCTGGGGAGAATGAAGAAGAAGCAGGTTTGGTATGTTCAAAAGAGGTGCTTAATCTGACATAGATTTGAGATAAGCTTAACACTTTATAATCCTGAGTCAATGCTGAAATTAAAAACCCTGTAATACCTTTTCCTCTATTTAGCTTGGGAGAAGCCTGTTGAAGCCAAAAATTCTGGAGCTGTGGAGCACTGTTCTTTTTATAGCAAGCTCTTCACCATCCCAGCAGCTGCATTGCTGTGCCTTTTTTAAGGCCCAGCTTGTATCAGACACTCCTGGTTTCTTGTCAGTATCGCAAGGCTTGTTAGTCACATGCTATTGGTTAGAAAGTTGCATCTAAGGCATACCAGCCCAACAGCTGGTTGGAAAACAGGTCTGACCTCTTTGATTAAGCTGGATCCATTCTGTTTGGCCAGCTTCTGTTTCTAGGTTGGTTCTGGTTTTGCTGTACAAGAAGAGATCAGAGAAGCCCATTTACAGAAAGAACGTAAGCCATTATGAGAGCATCACTATGTGGGGCTGAAACACTGAGAACTGTGTTTGATGTTGTGCGAGTGAATTTGATTTTGAAAGCAAGTATTTAAATTAATGTTGCCGCTTGGTAGATATGACTGAGTTTATCTTTTTAGTTTCATTGCTTTAACTTGCTGTACAATAAAGATGAGGATGCATGTCGTTGGATAATCCAGATATATGTTTGGAGAGTGTCATAAGATGAACCAGACATTTTGAGCTTTTTAGAAAGTTGTAGGAATAAGGATGTTATACGAAATGATAAAAGTAAAATGAAAATAAAATAAGGCCTCTGAAAAGTCACGGGTTCATTTGTTCAAACCATGATCTGAATTTTGTGCTGTTGCTCTTCTATCACATGTGGCTTCTCATTTTTAGATTGTACTTTACTTTGATGACTGATATAGAAATAATGATTGCATTTGTCCCTAATTATTTATTTGAGACTTTGCTTGGAGTATAAAGCATTTTTTTAAAAAAAAGTTGCACTAATTATACATATTACTTTAGAGAGAGCTGCAAACACTGTGAAGTGGTATATAAGTCTAAGTGCTATTGCTATTATTCTGCTGTGCCAAAAAGAGTCAAAGGTTGAGTCTTTTCTCTTTCTTTTCCCCTTTCTCCTACACTTTTTTCTTTCTCTTCCCCTCCCTTATATTCTCATTATTTTCTTTTTATCTTTGTATTTCTGTATTTTATATTTTGATAAATTAATAAAATTTGTGGGGGAGGAAATGGCACTTATTATAGCTTATGGATCCAGTATGTTGGTGGAACTCTAGTTTTAATTTATCATAGGGGAGAAAATATTCAGAATATTTCCACTAGAGAAAAAATGGAGTATGAGCATTTTTTTTTTTTTTGTTATTCAGTTCTCTCCATTCTTGCAATTCCATAACTGTCAGGGCAATATCTCATCAAAGGCTGCAGGAAAAGGGTGGGATTTGCATTCTTGCCTCTTCTCATTTCAGTAAGTGGCAAAACTACGCCATAAATCCTCCTGACTGCAAGAAGCTTTTTGTAGGTGCATTTTTTATATTAGAACAAATAGGAACCTGAGAAATTGAGCAGAATGAGGATGTGAGGGAGGAGTGCATGACTCAATGTCACATTTCCAAATCTCCAAAGTATGGTTTAAAGGATTGAGCTGATAATTACTCTCCCGGGTTGTTGTGGCAAAATGCTTAGCTGATGGTCATGAAACATTGCAAGGACCCTTTCTTCTATTTTTATAAGAATGTTTTTTCTTCTTTAAATGTTTTATTGAGACTTCAGATTCTTGGTGGATTCTTTTCTGAATTCTTGAGCTGTTCTTCATAAGAGGTATGAGGAGAGAGAGAGAGAGACTGAGTTACTTTTGTATAGGTTGTATGTTCTACAAAAAAACCTGGTCTTGTAGAGCTTTTAAAAGTGTTGCAATTCAAAATGAAGTTATAATAGCCAATTTTTTTTTTGACAAAAATGACATTTAAACAAATTAAATTATATCATTGATTTTGTTAGTCCTACATTAGTATTAGAATTCTTTATTGGCCAAGGGTGATTTGGACACACAAGGAATTTGTCTCCGATACAAATCTCTCAGTGTACGTACAAGCAATAAGTGATAAATAAGTGATAATCATCGTAAAAATATATTCATCATAAATTATAAGATACAACCATAGGATACTAAATAAGCAATCAACATTAATCATACTAGGATACTAAGTAAACAATATAAATCATAAGATACAAGCAACAAAGTTATGGTCAAAAGAAGATGAGATAGGTAATAGGGAAGATAAGAAGAATAACAGAAGAATAAGTTCATCTTTCCTAGAAAACAAATCACGCTCCCATATCTGGTAAAGAACTGGAAAGTCATCTCTTTTTTAAAAAAAAAATTAACAAAGTGTATCTTAAAAAAACATAAATAAAATATACATATGCTCAAATTTTACAGATAATACCAATAATTAAAATATAAGCATTATGAAGGAAAACAGCAGCAGCAACAAAATACTTTGTTGATCTTAGTGTTTAAAGAATGTGTCTTTTGAGTGGGTTTCTAAAGTTTAATCAAATGCTAAAAGGAAAGATGGTGTATGCTGTGCTTTTTCCTTTCTGAGTCAAGAGGCATTACTGGTGGGCCCCTCCATGTTTTAAAAGGAGCCATCCTTCCCTATCTCCTGAAAAGGAAGGGACTGTGTTAATCGCACTCTGTCCCTGGCTGAGGACATCTCTCCCTTATGGGGCTATGGACTGATAGTGTGTGGCCTGAAGGATTGACTGGCAGCTACAATCACAGTGACATTTACAATTATGGCAACACTTACTATTTATTTCCTTCTAATCCTTTATATTTTTAAACTTAAGTACTGTATCAGCAAAATAAAAAAGCAATACAATATTAGAAACACAGAGTCTCAGAGCATATAAAGGTACGTTTGTATTCTTACAAAAAATTAGTATTTCTGTCAAGAAGACATTGGTAACCCCAGGAATAATCTAGTGAAAATTACTTCTTTCATATAACTCAAAAATGGAAATTGTATGTGAGTAAAATAAGTTTTTATTAGGATTTTTTTTTGTTATGTCCATTTTCCAGCCAGTGTTCTTTCCCACATTTTTAAATAACATAGTTTGAAAGGCAGATATATTTTGGTTTTTCAGTATTTTGCGGTAGAAAATCTGTTACTGAGTAACAATGTAATTTCATTTTTTATTACAGTTTCTTTGGTACTATATTGGAAAAAATAGATAGCATTTCCACACCTGACTTACTTATCCAAGGATGTAATTTCTTCAAGCATTTCTATGTTAATACCTTATGTGTGTTTTTTTTTTAAAAAAGGGACTAAACTGATTGGATTTAATTGCCTAAAGCCGTGATGGCGAACCTATGGCACGTGTGCCACAGATGGCACGTAGAGCCACATCTGTGAGCATGCAAGTGTTGCCCTAGCTCAGCTCCAGCACACATGCGTGCACCAACCAGCTGGTTTTCTGGCCTTCCAGGCCCACCAGAAGTGGGGACACAGGCTGTTTCTGGCTTCTGGAGGGCCTCCGGGGGTGGGGAAGGCCGTTTTTGCTTTCCCCAGGCTCCTAAAAAAGCTCTGGAGCCTGGGGAGGGTGAAAAATGGGCCTATGGGGGGAGCGCGGGGGGGTCGCACACGCATGCATGGGGGGGCGGGACGCATTGAATTATGGCTGTGGGCACGCGTGTGTGCGACCCCCCCCGTGCTCCTCTCCGCTGCGTCTTTGGCATGCAACGGCAAAATGGTTAGCTATCACTGGCCTAAAGGGTCCATATCAACTATATGACTCAATGAATTCCTTCCTTCCTACTCAGTATGTTGGATATGTTTCTTTATATTGGTATTGTTAGACAGCAATACCATCTTTTTTTCCTTCCTTCCTTCCTTCCTTCCTTCCTTCCTTCCTTCCTTCCTTCCTTCCCCTTCTCTCTCACACCTGTAACCACTTGGGACACTTGGGGATGGTGAATCACAGCAAGTGCAGATATATTGTAGATAAATGCCTCCAGTAACAGATTGAGGCAAACTATGGGTAGGTGAGGACATCTAAATGAAGAACCTTGTGGTTATTTTGCTAGGGTTACATTTGTTTCAAGGTGGATTTTTTAAGCCACAGTTCTGAAATTGCCAGTGGCCAAACTGAAGTTTTCGTTCTACCATTGGCTAACCCATCTTCATGCTAGCTAACAGGTAAATCAGATGGATAACCATGGATAGGCAAAAAAGCAGTGGGAGAAGGACCAAAGTTTGCTTCCTGCTGGCTTCCCCATTGACTTCATTTGTGGAAAGCTGGCAGGCAGCATTGGAATTCACAACATGACCATGGGGATGCTCCAATGACCATAACTTTGAGTGTAAAACTAGTCTGAACATTGCATAAATTGCAATTCACAGGAATAATGGGTCCTGGATTTTTTACACCTTCTTTAAGTTAGCAGATGTTAGGTACCTTGATTCCAAAATTGTTGCAGTATAATGCGCTCTCTGGGATAGCTTGAGGGTACAAACAGACAAATAGATAAGCACAAAGGGAGTTTTAGTAGTGTATAGATTTTGCAGGACTCTATCTGCATTGTTTATCCAGAGCTGGTATGGGGACCTCCAATGTGGTGTGGTATTAGCCCCACTATAATGGAATGTGTGATGACTTTGGGGAACGGGAGGAAGAGATTCTGTCTAGGAACCAATCAGGCAAGAGAAGCAGGGACCTCTATTGCAGGGGTGTCAAACTCACGTTGTCATGGTGGCGTCATGTGATGTATTGGGACTTTTTCCCCCTTCACTAAAGTGGGCATGGGTGTGGTCAGCATGTGACAAAGCTGGCCCTCGGGCTGGAAGTTTGACAGCCCTGCTCTATTGGCTTCAAAGTCAGAGAAAAAAACTAAAAAAATGGGAAGTTTGTACTTTCAGATTTGCAGACTTTCACATTTGCAAAATTCTGATAATGTACTGTATCATTACAATAAAATAGAAGTAGTGCATCTTGTCCTGTTTCCTTCCTGGTTTACCTTGGAGAGCTGACAGCCATCATATTTTTAGCCCTATATGCATTTACTGTAGGTATTCGGTTTCTTCTAAGCCTTGGTGCCTATTGACATTTAGACCCTATAAGACCACTGTTCTGCATGGTCATGAAATGAATGGATGAATTTAAATGTGACATTATTTGTAACTAATAAGCTTAGTTGCTCTAGGTTCTTTGGCTAGAAAAGAGATGTAATCATGTATCAGTGGTGGGTTTCAAAAATTTTTACTACTGGTTCTGTGGCTGTGGCTTGGTGGCATAGCTGGGGGGGCATAGCTTGGGGGGCATGGCAGGGGAAAGATACTGTAAAATCTCCATTCCCACCCCACTACAGAGGAAGGTTACTGCAAAATCCCCATTCCCTTCCAATCAGCTGGGAATTGGGAGGCAGAGAATAGATGGGAGTGGGGCCAGTCAGAATTTTTACTACTGGTTTTCCGAACTACTCAAAATTTCTGCTACCAGTTCTCCAGAACTGGCCAGAACCTGCGGAAAGCTTCTATCATGTATGTATTCATCTTGAATATGCTCAGATGATGTGTCAGTAATTCCTGCTTATCAGTTGCAGTACAGTTAAACTTTTATCTTTGATACTTTAAACATTCTTTTTACTTGTTTCATGGCTAAAAATGTAACACTGAGATTGGTAGATGGGTTTACATTGTTATCTTCTTCAATATAACTGATTTTTCTTTTCCAAGAAGGATAGTAGATTTTGCCTGTAGATTTTATTTTTGCAATAGTGCTAAAATGAAAATTATAAAAATAAATGAGTAAAGGATATAGTTTAATACTGTTTAAGAGCTTTGAAGTAGTGTTGATTTTGAGTGGGGTAAGTTTAATTTTACGTATGGCTCTTAATTTTAGAATTTTACAAGCATCCCAACAGAGATGTGGGCTGGAATTTTTTTCAAGATCAGAATGTCCCATGGATTTTTTTCTTCTCCATGTTGGGCAAGTTTGGCAACTTGAAAGCTGTATGATGTTTGCTTGTTCTAAAAACAAAAGAGAAGCAGGGATTTATTTCATGGCTGTTTCTCATATCAAATAATGTAGCTCACATACTTGTGTAGTCCATGGATTTTAAGATAAATATGTTAACTGGAACCATGCTCATTTTCCAATTCAAAATTTTCCAGAAATCCCAGATTTTACCTTTATTTGTAATATATAAATGGAGTTGTATGCAAAACTATTGTTAATTAAGAATGTTTGCGCTTATGATATAATTAAGCTCATTTTCACATAACCTCTCTAGGCATGAATCAGTCTCCGCCCTCTCATCTGCACCAGTGCTTTCATCAGACAGCGATAAGGATGGTGAAGATGAAGGAAATGATGAGGATGAGTTACATGGACTACAGTCTTTCCAAATGACAACCAATGTCAATCTTGAAAGTTGTTCAGGTATAAGGGAATATGAAGATGGGGGAGAAATAGCAATACCAATAGCAGTAGTACTTTGACTTATGTACCACTTCACAGTGCTTTATAGCACTCTCTAAGCAGTTTAAAGAGTCAGCATATTGCCCCCAACAATGTGGGTCCTCGTTTTACCAACCTCGAAAGGATGGAAGGCTGACTCAACTTTTGAGCTGGTCAAGACTCAACTGCTGGCAGTCGGCAGAGTGAAGTATGACAGAAAAAAATAAATTTAGAAATAAGATCGTGTAGGCACTGGGCCTTTCTTCATTTTCATCAAACACAATACAAACAGCCTGACAGCCTTTTTTTTTTTTGATGTTGCCATCATCTTCAACTCATACTTTAAGCAGCTGAAATTTGTCTTTAATTTTCCCAGTGTGAATGTTTTCTTCTTCAAGCAGACAGTAAGGTAAAGGTTCCCCTCGTACATATGTGGTAATCGTTCCCGACTCTAGGGGGTGGTGCTCATCTAGGTTTCAAAGCTGAAGAGTCAGCGCTGTTCGAAGACGTCTCCGTAGTCATGTGGCTGGCATGACTAAACGCCAAAGGTGCACGGAACGCTGTTACCTTCCCACCAAAGGTGGTCCTTATTTTTCTACTTGCATTTTTTACATGCTTTCAAACTGCAAAGTTGGCAGAAGCTGGGAAAAGTAATGGGAGCTCACCCCGTTACGCAGCACTAGGGACTCGAACCGCTGAAGTGCCGACCTTTCGATCGGCAACCTCAGCGTCTTAGCCACTGAGCTACTGTGTCCCTTTTATTATTATTATTATTTTATTTTATTATTATTGCAGACAATAGGCTGCAGCAATTTTGTTATGAGCACAATCTGAACACTTTACTGAACATAAGATTTTTGTCATGGTCAGGTGACTTCCTAGAGTAGGAGACCAGCCTAATACCTATTGCTATATGGGCCTTCCAGGCTATTTTGCTAACACACAAAGAGAAAAAAGGATAGAAAATTATTTTTAAGTAACATTAAGAATGAAAGAAAAGCTAGAATTATCTATATAAGAAAATGTACATAAATATACATATGAGGTCAATGAACAGTTGTTAGCAGCAGAGGTAACTGTACTATGACGTGACGTTTTCTTGGCATTTAAAAATGAATTTTACGAACCTTATTTTTATGTACCAATGAAAGCATATCATGGTGAAACTTATTTGGTTTTTAAATCGCCTCAACCCCAATTCCTGTTTTTATATTCAAAGACATTGCAAATAGATTAGTTTGGCTGCTTTGAGTATCACAGGGCAGCTGTTGTTGCGAAAAGAGGAGGAGAAAGGAGTATTAAGTATGTCTGCTGCCTTGAGTTATTTATAAAAAATAATAAAGGCAGTATAAAAGAAAAGAAAAACTTGGGGCAAAACCCAAAATCCATTGTTTTTTATGCTTACTAATCTGATTTGTTTTCTGTCCTAAATTCAGATCTTTCTCTTTCAAGAAGCTTATCTCACTGGGAAATGAGACGGGTAAGCTTTCAGTACATATTTAAAATTAAAGAGTGGATGGTTAGTTTGGGAGAGTTGTGTGAGTAAATATACACGATACGCTGATGTTGACTCTTGATAGTTTTTAAATGACATAGCATCTATATATTCAACTGCAATTCAAGCAGTTACCTGTCAAGTACATATACGATCTTAGAAATATTACCTGTTGCAACTCTCCTCAAAATGGATAGCTTTGTGCTGATGAGCAATTTATTGAAGATGTCAAAACTCGGAAAGTAGAAATAAAATTTATTTATACAAGCATTTTTATCTTGCCTACACCGGAGATTCTATGGATTGTACAGTGCGAACTGTTATTGCAATAAACCTTCCAATGAGATCTTGCATCGTTTAAATGAAATTAACAATTTAACCATAAGACTGAGTAATATCTATGTATCAGTGATTATTACTTTGGCAGCAATCTTTAGGCGGACTTGTTCTGCCTTCTGTGAATAATGCTTGCACGTGAAAATACAGGAAAAAAATTGATAGAAAACTTTGCTTAGCTATAATGGGCTACTTTACTTATCTCCCCAATGGGCATATTCTGTTTTAACGCTGTCAGTAAAAGCATAAGGGAGATTTTTCAGTTTCGTTAATGTAAAACTCATTGTTAGCTTTCTGATGGTAATAGTTTAAGTACATAGAAACAACTATTGTTCCTTTTCATTTTCCTGTTCGAAAGATGAATAATGAAGAGCTTTTTTCCATTGTTTTTAGAAATCTTACATCATTCTCTGCCATCTACCTTTTAATCTCGGCATATCTGCAGCTTTTTAGGTTGAAGAAGGCTGCCCTATATTTTTGTTTTTCTTTTGTTTTAGTTGTTCTGGAGTATTGCAATTTCCTAAGCAGATTTACCATTAGAATATTTTAATAAACATTTTACCACTTTTAGGCAAAAGAAATGGCGATGATCCAGGGTTCAGAAAACACCATGAGCAAGATGCCTCGGCAGCGGAGCCGTTGGACCCAGCCAACGAGCAGTTTAGAGATGACGGTTAAATCTATGCTTGATCTACGTCAACTGGAGTCTTTCTCAGTGTCTCGTTCCGCTAGTCAGGATTCTCTTTCCCAGGCCAGCAATGGAGATGACCACAAAGAACACCCCAGTGTCTCAAATTATGCCAAGAAAGTAAGAATTCCCCTTCTCAAATGGGAATCCCGCCCCCAAAACAGGACCTTCCTTAGTTTTGTCAAATTGGGGGAGGGGCAGGGGGGAAATGATTAGGGAAGGGCTGTTCTATAATGACACCTGTCATTTTGGTTTTTGGAAACTCTAATACAAAGGACTACAGTCATATAAAAGCATTAGTAAAATGCTCCATGTAAATAATTTTGATAGATCAGATCATGCCTTTCTTGTCAGGTGGTTTCCTTAATCCTAGGTTTCAAACCTTGCATGTAGCTTTACTCATAGACAGGTATTGTGTTTCACTACTTGATTCCCTTTCCAGGAGGGAGGCTCCACAGCTCTGGAAGAAAATCAGCCTTGCCTTCGACCTCAAGTGATTAGACTTGTGTCCTGTGAAGGAGGGATTTTCCCACAAGAAATGGAACCTTCAGAGAGTGAAGAGTGTGTCATTTACCCAGAACAAGATGATCTTCCTCCTGCTGATATCAGCAGGTCAGTATGAATTTTTTGTTTCTGTGCTTTGACTTACTTACTTACTTATTTACTTACCGATTGATTGATTGGATTGGATTTAAAGGCTACCCAAAAGCAGAATGACTCTGATTGGTTTGGGGTTTTAAAGGGAAAAACAGTAACAAGGAGCTAGAACATTTGGACAATAACCACATAGCAACACATCAGTAACCCTGTTGATGAGAATAGAAGACCTCTGGAACGTCACCGGGAACAATATGAATATGAATATTATTGTTCCCAGTGACGTTCCAGAGGTCTTCTATTCTCATCAATAGGGGAGATATCATTCCAGGGGTCAGGCACTGCAACAGAAAAGGCATGCTTTCTAGATGTCGTTAGTTGGCATTGTTCAAGAGACCTGAAGTGCACCAACTGTGCCTGATTTTACCAGATGGGCAGAAACCATGGGAGATAGCCTTGCCGTATGCATTGAAGGGCTGTATGCCTGATAACAGCTTCTTAAACTGCACCATTGTATTTCTTCTTTTCTCTTACAGTGATTTCCAAGTAAAAGCACTTCCACATGGAAAACTGGGTAGAGGCTACAATAGCAACGAGGGGCCAGATAAGCACAGCCCCGACAGTGCTTGTTCTGTGGATTATAGTAGCAGTCGACTATCAAGTCCAAATGAAGGTGAGTCCTTTGAAATCATTTGAACTCATAGCCACCCTCTACTTCAAGTCGTGGCCACAAAACCCACTCCAGATTAAACTATTACCTTTTTAATTCTGAATTTCATTTGAATTGTTCTCAGATAAAAGCTTAATTGAAGTCCCCTTCACTGCTATTCAGCATCTGATTTACTGTGCTAAATACTTGGGAAAATCACTAGACCATATATTACATAGGCAGAATTATAGCTTAATGCATTGTAAGCCGTCCTGAGTCTCCGGAGAAGGGCGGCATATAAATCAATCAATCAAACAAACAAACAAACAATAAATAAATAATTTATTTATTTATAATAAATAAATAAATAAATAAATAAATAAATAAATAAATAAATAAATAAATAAATAAATAAATAAATAGCTCTGTATAGCTGTAATCTTTCTATCCTATGGAACTTTGCTCAAGAAAAAAGTATGTAATGGAATTGCAACATCAGTTACCCAAACAGATCAAAAACTGAAATTAACCTTAGACTGCATTAAATAGCATGGACACCATAACGTTTTTAAAGTGTGAGCACATTTGAAGGAAATATTGATTCTCCATAAGATAATGGTATATATTCTTGGTTAATTAAAAGTTTTACTAAATGAAGAATATATTTTCTAAAAATATTTGCTGCATATAAAGACTAGAATTCTTCTCAGAATATAAATTAATCTGGGAATAACATTCCTTTTGAGACCATTCACCTTTCCCCAAAGACTGAAGCTTAATGTCTCTCATCTATTGATATATAAAGAAAACTTTCACTCTATATGTTGTTTATATTATATGCTACTAACTGAATTATATTTTTTGGTATATACATATATCTATATATTTAATACACACAGAATTAATATTCCTTAAATAGATGAGTAACCAAATTTTCATCAATTGGCATCAATTCTGATTTGGGCCACTTAATAGAATATTCTGCTATTTTACTAAAGGCATCTATCATCTGCATCAACATTCGGACAGTATGTATGAGATTTAGAAATAAAATATTGGCAAATGAAACCAATTTGTGTCCAACAGAGTTAGTACTATTTCGTAAATCTAATAGCAGAAGCCAAGGGTTCCATGCAGATATTAAAAAGTGAGTGTGAAAGTGGACATCCTTGTTTAGTTCCTCAAAATAGTAGAGAAGTAGGAGAAAATATGCTTTACTTTAGAATGGGTGACTCATATAGTATCTTGATCCCATTTATGAATTCCAAAAGAAATCCTAACCTATTTCCTACAACTTGTATTGTTCATATATTTTTCCAATGCTTTTTTGGCATCTAATGATTAGATGCTTTTTCAGCATCTAATGATAAGATTGCAAATTTATTTTTTACATTTATTCAAATCTATTAAATCTATAACTAACCTAATACCTGTTGCTTGTTTAGTTTTTATAACTCCTGCTTAGTCATTCTTAATAATGAATATATCCCCATCTATAATCTATTTGCTAGTGCTATTAACATCACTTTATCAAAGTTAATTAATAAGATTGGATGAATTAGAACACCGAATATGCTTTTTACCTGCTTTTGATACAACTGTAATATAAGCCTGATTAAATGCTGCTGATAAGATTCCCTCATCAAATATCTCCTCATATAATTGACAAAGTTTAGGCACCAAGAAATCTATAAATATTTTATACCACTCAATGGAGAATCTATCCAATGCTGGTGTTTTACCTCTTGCCATTTTTAGAATTATTTCAGATAGATGAGCAAGTAAAAGTTGTTTTTGTGTATTGACTGTGGTAGGTTAACTTTATTTTAAATGGCATTTATATCTTCATTCAGTACATTTTTTGGTTTTCTGTACCATTCTGAATAAGTTTTAAAAATGCAGTTTATATCCATTAAAGTTTTTTATATTTCATCCTTTTCATCTATAATGATTTGAGCTATTGCCCTATCTTTCTTTTGCTTTAAATGATGAACCAGGATCACACCAGATATTTCATCACATCTTTCTGGCAGTTTTTTAAAAAAATGGAGACTGGAATGCCTGTTGCTAAGCGACCTTGTCATAAAGTGCAACATCATGTGACTGCATCACTTAGCCATGGTAGTTCTGGCACTTCCAGTTGCCACTATTAAGCAAATCCCATGCCATTGTTAAATGCAATATCACATGATCACCATTTGCAATTTTCAGCTGGCTTCCATAGACCTTGCTTGACAGAAGCTGGTAGTGAAGGTCACAAAATAATGGTGATCATGTGACCATGGGACACGGTGATGTCATAATTGCAAGCCAGTCACCAAGCGCCCAGATTGTGACTGCAGGGATGCTGCAACAAGCATGAGGACTGATACTTAGTACCATTTGTTCAATGCCATTATTAAGTACAAACAGGTGTTGAACAAGTGGTCATTAAATGAGGACCACCTAGACAACCAAATTAGATAACGATGCAATTGATGCAAATAATGGCATTGCAAATGTAAAAATTCTAATAATAAAACTGGAAGCTAGGACTTCTACCTACTTGGGACCAAATGGAGTTTCTAAGAATGAAATTGTTGTTTGTCCTCTGTTTATTTGGTGAAAAGATTATCTATACATGCAATAAAAAAAAAACCCATAGAAAAATGGGTCTAGGAGAACAGCTTGACAAGGACCTTAAAATTAAATTTGAGTGGATGCATTGTGTGAGAATAGGAAAAAAAAAATGATCTGGCAAGGCTCACTCAAAGGACAAGATGTATGGGATGGAGAAAGTTTACTGAAACTATTACACTATTATGGGGATGAGAGTTTAAAGTTAGGTGAATTAATTCTTTGGGGGCAACGTTTCTTTCTCTGTGTAGGACTTCTTCAAGTAAGGACAAAGAATAGCTTTCCCCTTCCTTGTTTTTCCAAAAGAGCAAACAAACCAATAGATGTCAGCTGAAAAATTAATACTCTAGACTGAACCCTTCTTGTATAACATTGCAAGGAAAAGGCTTTGGAGAAAAAGGGGAGAGGATAATGATGATATCGTAAAAGTAAACCTAAAATTATAGTGCTTATTAGTACTGTAAAAAAAACACTCCACAGAGCAAAAACGATATCATAATAGGGTTGGAAAAAATCTCCATTGCAATTTATGTAGAATATTTGGCTGTTTACAAATGCCATTGGGATCCTGTGCCTGAAAAGTTTTGCAAAGTGAGATCAACTTTTGGTAGGTTTTCAAAATTCAAACTGGTAGACACATAAAAACACAATACACCAGGTATTACTGTTTATAGGAAAAAGATACGGTTCACTGATAGGGCAGTACCCAGAGACAGTTTAATGGATGAAAATCAACTGGAGAAAAATAACAGAATATTGTGATTTTTAAATTGAGGTTTAAAAAGATTATGGTGAAAAATATCAGTTGTCATGCCAATTATGACTATAACTTGATATACTTCCAAACTATTTAGAAAGTTTTAAATTTATTGGACTTGACAGGCTAATTTTGTGAAATACTTGGAACTGTGAACATATTACACTATATTCCTTGATTCTTAAGTCCTTGGCTAAATTCGGAATCATTGGAATCAACATTCAGTTGATTATACTGTGATATATATTTGGAAAACAGAATAACAATAATAATATCGTCCCCATGTGCCCAGGATTGTTACAGAGGAATGGGCCAAGAATTTTTTTTGTTAATACAACATATTATTTCAAGTTTCACTGATATAATGTTTTGTATAAATTGCATATGATGTGTATCATTTCAGATTCTGAAAGTACAGAGCCTCTCAGTGTGGATGGCACTTCAGACTTGGATGAGCAAGTGGGTGAAGAAGATGAGGAAGATGTAAACACTGGATTATTGGATGGAGATGTTCCCACGACTCCAGATCAAGAGAAGTTCCTCAAGCAGCATTTTGAGACTCTAGCCAGTAACAGTGATAAGGGTACATTAGCATATTTAATGGAATCTATAACTGTTAACTCCATTTTCCCTGTCAGGAACAAGTACCTTAATCTTTTATATATTAATCTGTAGATTCATACCCCTCATCATACAGTCTGTAAGAGGATAAGTGATGCCCTGCTGGATCATCTAATCCAGCAGTCTATTCTCATGGTGGCTAGCCAATTACAAAAGGAAGTCCACTAGTTCCCAGTAGATGGCCTTAAGACCATGATCAGTGAAATGAAAAAAGATTAATGCTCTGGGTTAAATAAGAGCTTCTAAGCCCAGAAACAGTTTAATTGCCTAATGTTAAAGGAAAGTGTTATAGTAGCTTATGGCCATAAATTAGTCAAGATGAAACTAATAGTTATCTATTAATTTGCAATCTTGAGAACAGCGGCATTAAATTCCATTGAACTCAGGGAATAGTTTGTAATATGTGGGGTCCAAAGCAAAGTATGCTATTCCAGGGATCTTTATTCTTGTACATTGTACGCAAAATAGAAAAACCCAAGTCAAGGTTCTCTTGCTGAAATTTCATATCCAAATCCCCTGCAGCTTTTCATCCCTAATCTGAGTACTTTTCCTCTTTTTAAATGACAGATGGATCATGTAGGACCCTGGAGAGAATGGAAAACAGCATTTCTTCTCGGTTTCTATCTCGGTTTCCAGGACTCAGGTAGAGTTCCATTTTTTATGAATGCAAAACAAGCTTTGCTCAGACGGGGTGAGCTAAGGTGCCATGTTTGATCAAGATACTTTATAGCTGCATTTATTTCTTAGGCTGAATAGATACAGTCCATTTATAAATTAAAATTTTATTTAGCCTTTGCTGTTTAGGCACTCTATTTTACTTCGGCATTTCATTCATCTTGAATGGTAAAAAAAAATACTGTCCATTCTTCTTTACTAATCAGCTCCAATCTGTTTTCATTAGGCGAGGGACAAAAATGCTTACTCTTCAATGCTTCATGAATATTTCATATCTTATTATAGAAATATTATGCATGATGGAATGTGAAGCTTATTGTTTTTGTGTATTGGATAAAGGTGTATATTCTATTGGGAAGCATTTGGTTTTCTTTTTGTCAGCATACAAGAGATTAGAGCAACTGCCTATGTCCTGTAGTAAGTCAAGCAGAGCTTACTCTGATAACAGATTTACTTGCTTCAACTTCCTCCTTTTCACCAAATCATTTAGTCAGACATAGCCATGCTAACTATCTCACAGTAAGAGCTCAACTATCTCATATTAAGAGATTACTTTGATAATAACAGAGAGTTACAATGCCTTGCATAGTACAAATTCCTTCTTTTCCCTAAATCATTCTGTCAGATACAGCCATGCAGGTTTAGCGCTTCTGTTCTTATTGGCAACTGTTCTATAAGAAAGTGTTTTTTTGTGGAAAGGATTAGCCTTAAATATTATTTAATCACCTTTATAGAACTACTCTATTTTATAGTAGTTGGCAAGAATGCAATGTAATGATGCTATGTAATAGTAGATGGTAGAAATGTGATGTTATGATGGCATGTAATTGTCAATCAAATATCTTGTCTTGTCTTCAATTCCATAGGGAACCCTCATTTTCTGCATCAAAGCTGGTACTGGATAAGAAATCTACTGAAGGGTCTGGTTTGCCAAAACAACGTACCAATGAACTGCTGAAAAATGGGCTTGACCATCAGGACATGCCCACAGAGAACGGCTTCTTTCAAAATGATATTAATTCCATTAGGTCACTTTATATGCAGAAAAAAAGGAAGTCTGCTGTAGAGATCAACAGAGGACGTGGAAGATCTGTTGGGTCTTTCCCAGATAGTGATGGAGCAGTGATGCTGCGGAAATCCCAATCAGTTCACGATCTTGTTCATAATGGTAAGGAAGTGCTTTCTATGAAATGGTTAGAGTGATGACTCCACGACGGGAATCTGTCTGTGAGGCTGAAAATCCTTAATGTTTTCATTCAGAAATCACAAGTTCTCACTGCAAAATGTAGCTGCTGATCAGTGTCAGAGGTGGGTTGAGTTGGGCAGCCACTGATCAGAAGGGAAAGCTAATTCCTACATCTGATGACAAAAAGAGGCAAGTTGACACTCAATGCTTTTTAAAAAAATAGGCTACAAGTCCAGTGAGCCCTGAAAGGAAAGGAAAGATTACCTAGATCTTTCTTTTAAAAGAGTGGGAAAGAGATCCACCCCCAGAAAAGAAGATTTGGAATCATTCAGGTGCCCCCTCCCCCCAAGCCCAGTGAAAATATTAGCTGCCCTTCCCTCCCTATCAATTGTGAGGAAAAGTGAATGGATCAGGCAGCATTCTGTTGGTGTGCTGAATGAGATTTTGGCAATCCTCCCATTTTCTTGAAACAGAATTCAGAGAGACCTACAGAAACCCTGAACATATTTCCCTTCTCCTGCTTCCTTTGACATCAGTGGGAGGGAAACAGTTTTAAGAAATAAAGAAATAAAGAAAAAGGAGAAGAAGCAATGAAAACAGTAACTGCTTCTCCTTCTTTTTTGCCCTGGTGAGCTGAGCTTGAAAGGGTTTTGAATTCTTTGTTGTAGAAAGGAGTTTAGCCCAATAGACTTTAAAGCATCCAGAATGTCTTGCTAATAAGTCAGTGTCTAGGACTGGCATCTCGCCTTTTTTTTTTTTACCCATATTACATGTGTTCTTTGGGACTGCATTTATATTTTTTTTAATATTTTGCACTACTCACAGAGTAAATATTACAAATTCTGTGTTAGCAATAACAAACTGGGATTATTATTCTATGGCTACTTTTTGCTTAAAGGAGATATGTTATTGCAACTTGGTTTATTGCAAATTGCACAGAGCAAAAGACCCAAAAAGGACATATAACACTATTTCTTGTCTAAAATTTTCCAACAGAAATTAAGGTAATGATGTTTAGAGAAAAACTATGTAGAACAAAGTGTGATAGTTCAAAAATACTGAAATAACATTGTTATTTTGCTTACTATTTCTTCCAGAAATTGAAGTGAAATAATTACATTTAGAAGCTGGAGCTATTTTAATTCTGACTGCACAAATTGCTCCAGACCAGTTGTGTGCATTTATTTATTCCATTTCTACAGATAAAATTCCTGGTGTGATGCTGTCTGTCAGGCAACGACCTCAGGCACTAATCATAGGTGAGAAGGAGCCAAAATCTAACCATTGTCAGACATTTTCTGCAACACTATTGAAGATGGAGAATTCCAGCTTTTTGCAAGCCAAAGACATTAAAGCTGCAAAACCAAAGTCCTATATGAGTCCTACCACAAGTTTCATGGCCAAGATGTCCCGTAGTGTGTCTATGGGAGAGAATCTGTGCTTTGGTGATAGTTCAGAAAACCAGAATGAAGTGAAAATCATCCCGCAAGTATCAGAGAAGACAAGATTAAATCTGTTAGAGGACATTGAGAAGAATAAGCCATTTGTGAAAGACAACAGCCCAGTGAAATCTTCTCTTCAGCAAACTGCAAGCTCTTCTTCACCCCAGTCCTTTCAGAGCAAGTTGGCATCTAGTCGAGCCCATTTGACTCTTGACATCCCCAAGCCTCTACCTGATAGACCAATATTAGCTTCTTTCTCACCAAAGACAAAATCAAAAACTGTGCTAGGACCAGAATATCCTCAGTCACCTGGTGCTGTTGGGAAAAAGAAGCAGTCTTTTCCTGAAGGCTGGGCCTTGAAATTGGAAAGTCAAGCATCTGGACCTCTTGGCCTTGGTAAAAGTAGTTCTTTGAGTCCTTGTGCAGACGCTCTGAAAGAGAACCAAACACAATTGAGGTCCAAAACCCAACTTGAGCCAAGAGTAACTAATTCCAAGCGAAAAGAGCCTTCAGATGAACTGCATCCGATTTCTTCAGAAAAACTGCCACTGGAATGCAGGGACAAAGTTGCCACTGTTAGTTATGTGCCAGCTAACAATGAGCATTGCTCTTATGAAGAAAGTGGGCCAAGGTCTCCTACAAATGCAAAAAGCCTTGGAAAGGATTCAGGTGTGCACAGATATCCATCTCCTACCTTTCCCGCCCCCCCTTCTGTCCTTTGCTTCTCTGTTCCATCATGTTTCTTTCCATCTAGCTTCTGATTGTCTTGTCCTGTCTGCACTGTCCCATTCCATAAGCCATCATTTCAGTGGTGAGATATTTAACATTATTTAACGACATCTGACGTTATTTTTTTTCTATTTCTGTTTCCCCTTTTACTTACATTTTGCTTTGGTGCATGCAAATGTTACAGCTCTCATGTTTTTCTTCTTCAAAAGGGAAGTTAAGAATAGGAGTAAAAGCAAGCAACAAAGCTTTTAAGTAATATTCTGCATTGTGGAAAATAGCATTTTATGCCCAATGTTGCCAGAACTTACAGAATTAAATTCTCAGCGTTTCTGATACTGTGTGCTAACACTTAAGCAGTGTAAGAAACATGAGACAATTGGCCAAAAATAATAATAATAATTCTTTGTGAGATAGTAACCATTGCTGCTGAAGAAAAAAAAAAGTAACATCTAGAATTTAAAGGATAGATTCCAAAAATTCCAAAGCTTTTTAAGTTTCAGTAGCAGTAGCAGTAGCAGTAGCAATAGCAATAGCACTTAGACTTATATACCGCTTCATAGTGCTTTACAGCCCTTTCTAAGTGGTTCTACAGAGTCAGTATTTTGCCCCCAACAATCTGGGTCCTCATTTTACCAACCTCGGAAGGATGGAAGGCTGAGACAACCTTGAGCAGGTGAGAATCGAACTGCCAAACTGCTGGCAGCCCGCAGTCAGCAGAAGTACCCCACAGTACTGCATTCTAACCACCATGGCTCATACAGTAGTAGAATGAAATATGGGGGAAGGGGGGGAAGGGGTACAGAAAAGTTTGCAAGAGATGAAGATTTGTCCATTGATAATCTTCCACCCTGCAGAATACATTCCCAAAATCTGTTCCAAAAAGATGAGAGATTCTCAGGAGCAGATTTGGGCATATATACATGGAGAAAGGAGAAGATTCCTCTATGCTAGCAGAAAACCCACCTGCAGGAAATTAAGTGTCTTCTGTAATACAGGTTTTTCTGTTGGATTCATGACCATAATTGAGCCCAACATTTCTGTTGCTAAGCGAGACATTTGTTTTGCCCCATTTTATGACTTTTCTTGCCACATTTGTTAAATGAATCACTGCAGTTAAGTTAGCAAAATGGTTGTTAAGTGAATCTGGCTTCTCCATTGACTTTGTTTGTCAGAAGGTTGCAAAAGGTGATCACATGACCCTGAAACACTGCAACCATCATAAATATGAGTCAGTTGCCAAGTGTCTGAATTTTTATCACATGACTATGGTTATGGATGCTGCAATGGTCATAAGTGTGAAAAACAGTCATAAATCACTTTTTTTCAGTGCCATTGTAATTTCACACAGTCACTATTGTACAGTTGAACCCTGAGCTACGAATATTCTCTTCTAGTGGTAAGTAACATTTGAAGAGCAATTTTACACAACTGAAATGAAAATAGGAAAATGATACCAATTTAATCTCTTTAGCATTGAAAATTCAACAAAATAAACTCTGTGTCTTATATACAAAATAGTTGTAGAGCACTTGAGTCCAATCCTAAAAAGCCAACTGTGTATATCATCTCTTGGTTTGAGTATGAAATTGAAATAATCATTTCTTCCAAAACTGTAGGTTATAAAATGCTTTATATGTTAACCAACACATTGAATTAAGATAGGAAATTAATTAGAAAGCAATAAAAAGGATAAAATGCTGGCATGTTTTAATACCAGCTACACTGAGTATTCCTCTTTAATTGGAAGTTTTTGGCTGCCCCTTATACAGAGATTTGCAGTAACTAAGATGAGAGAGCAGCATACCCTGTATTAACTGACATAAGGTTATCTCATCTCTCAAGTAAAATTAGACCTGGTCACAAATAAATAAGACATAATCTGAATAATTTAAATATAAAAAATTAGTTAACAAGTGCCAAAATTTGAGGTTGAGGGCAAATTTACCCCCCACTAGCTGCTACTCTTACTTGTTCTAAAGACAAAATTAGATCTAGAAGTATTCCCAAGCAATGAATGCAATCATCTACCCTGTTTTCCCAAAATAAGACATCTCCTGATAATAAGCGCAATCGAGCTTTTGAGTGCATGGCAATAAGGCCAAGCACTTATTTCAGGGTTCAAAAAAATATAAGACAGGGTCTTATTTTCAGGGAAACGTGGTAGATTTCCTCAAACAGATTGAATAACCTTTACCAAGACAAATCAGTTCATGAACAGGACCTGAATTTTGCTTTTTTGGCTCTTATTCCATTTCATTCAGTTCCATGGTCAGACATTTCTCCTACCACATCTGAACTTGATGAAGAAGAGAAAGCTGTGGTGGCCTCAGAAAACTGCTAGCACTTTATTCTAAACCTTTGAATCGTCCAGCAATTTAATATAATTGTTAAACAGCAAGATACAGTGCTGCTGTAGTGTTAATAATATTGTATAGTATTAAGCAGGAATCTCCCAGATGGCATAACATCCAAACATGAGCAAAACCAATGTTAATGTGTTCAACATATACCCAATTTAAACTTTCCAGAAGGATATCGTGGTCAGTAATACTGAAAGCTGTTATATGGCAGCTCTGTCCTTGAATTCCTTGCAGCAAAGATGATTTCACAGGGCAACCAAAGCAGTTTCACTGACAAAGACATGTCTAAGTCCTCTTTACAATGGATTTATCCAGAAATAATTTATTCATCAATTTGAATAAAGTGGTTATATTGGTAGGGAATAACAGATGTATTATAAAACAGTATTCATTTTTGACCATCCATTTCTAAAGCGCTTTTATAGCAACCAATAAAGCTTCATTAAAAATATCAATTAATACAACAACACAATTAAATCAACTTAATAAAATGCTATTCCATAAAATATCAAGAGCAAACAGTGAAGCACTCTTTTTAATGCTGTAATAGGCTTCACATTTTGCTATAGAAACTCCTTCCTTGAAATTATGTCTCACATAAATTGTATTGCTCAATCACATTAGAACAAAGGATTTTTGAGGGCAGGAGTGAGTGTCATTTTATATTTTACTAATGGCTTGCATGCAACTTTGGGCCTTGGGAAAAGTTATCTAATATCTGCTTTCAGTTCTTTTCCATCTACCAATTGTGCACACATTTCTCATTATGGAAGAAAATAACATGGGAGATGAAGTATGGTCATCACAATGGCCATCTGCTCTTCATGGCTGAAAATTCATTGCCATTAATTCTGAAGTCTTGTACATCATTCACCTAAGAATTCTGGAGTGCTTACATACCATAAGCAACATGTCCATACATCTGCATTAGCATTGATTGATTTCAACAGCAATGTAGATATATAATAACAGGAGAATTGCACTTGTAATGAAAAGAGAATGGTTCATAATTCATTCAGGAAGAATAATTAACAAGATTATAGAGATTACTCATACTGTAAATTAACAAGAATGTGAAGAATGAAAGGAACTCAGATATTAGCTTGTGTTGACTTTTGAATGTGGCAATCCCAGGTTTGTAGGATAGGTTGGAAAACTGAGAATAAAAAATCCCAAAGAAGGAAATGGTTAGATCTTTGCCAAATTGTATACATTTGTGTGGTTATCAAGTGCATGAGTTGAGGAAGACTTTATCTTGAATGCACTCAATTCTTGCAATTCTTTTGCTTAAAAATATATATTTTTAATTACAGAAGGATTTTGGTGGGTTTTAATGTTATCTTTGTCAGGCCATAAACGCTTATGCAAATGTGTATGTCTATCCCTTTTTATGTCATTTATTGTGTCTCATTGTGTGTCGTTACATACTTTTACATGTTTGACTATGCTTAATTAGTGGAATGGCAGCTAAGCAAGCAACCAAAGTTAAACTTGCCTTTTAATACTTGCAAGAAAGTGACGTAATGCTAAAATAGACTTTCCATAACCATAACTACCTTAAATTGTATCCCTCTCAGTAAGTCAAAGATGCTTTTGGGGATTATATGAATTAAAGTATAAATGATTAATTTCTCAGATTTCAGATAGCTATGATGTACTTCTTTCTTCTTTTAATTGGGAACAGTCTTTTAGATTAGGATCACTGATTGTAATTATAGCTGTTTAACCAAAGTCTGGCAGGTTCAGATTGAACTGGCTAAGCCAAACCTAAACAATCCACATTATTCTTGCACTTTTTAAAAACTATCCCCCCCCCCTTTTTTTTTTTTTTTGAGAAATAACTGTTTTACTATTTTGGATATGCCTATTGATGGAAAGGAAACAAAGGCAAAGCAACTTTGGTTGTGGATAGGCCTAATTAGCGCTTCAGCATTCTTTCTTTGACAAATCAAATTAATTTACAATGTTTGCATTAAGATACATTTCATGAATTGTAATGATAATCAAATGCTTCACATTGTGAATATTCAAGAATCAGTGACTTCTCCAAAACTGATATGATTTTGCATAACTTTAGTAGTACTTTTCAGTAGTGAATCATAGGGCAGACTGAAATTATACTTCTGTTCAGTATTTATGTTCTCTTGTTCCACCACACTACCAGGTTCTTCAATCAGTGTTGAGCAATGCAAGCACGTAGTGTCTGAGCTCCAGGACAGTATGCGTAAGGCCATCCAGATATATCACCTGGTAAGTCACCCCTTTGTTTCTGTTAGATCTAACTGCTTATGTATAAAACTAACTTATTAATTCAGAAATATATAGCTAAGAATAGGAGCAAAAAAAAAATCCATTAAATAGCAGACATCTGTTCTTGTTCTTGTATGTGATTAGAAACCAGATGTAACCACACTAGCAAACCAGAAGGTAAGCTGAAAGAATTCCAAGCTGCTGACCAGCTATAGCTGAAGGCCAAAATATGTATTATAATTATGTATTCATAAGACTTTAGCAGCTCCTTACTTTTTCTTTACTTGCAAGTGACCAAAGACGTTTCAGAAGCATCATGAAATGCATTTGTTTGGCTTGATTTTTAAAATTCATCAGAAGAGGAAGAAGACAAATATAGTTGTTTTTAAAATGATTACAGGTAGCTCTCAATCATTCATTCAGTGAACACTGGAAGTTATGACAGTGTTGAAGAAATAATTTTATGGGCCATTTATGGCCATTTATGACCATTGAAGGGATCCCTCCATCATGTGAATGCAATTACAGTCAGTACATGTTGCCTTCTGCCTACCCTTTGTTTCCCCTCTCCCCTTGTAGAACAGAGAGACTGAAGAGAAAATGGATTGCAAGAAAGAAAGCTGTTGGTTCTTCTGTACATTGAAGACAATGTGACTGTGCCAGCAGTCTGGAGCCTCGAGCTGGGGGTCATGGGCATGCTATACAAACAGTTTACAATACTCTCTTGAAATCTCTTTCTCTCCAATCTTTCCATTTTGCAAGAGGGTGGGGAGGGGGGAAAAAGCAAGTAGGCAATCTCTCCTTGCCCTTCTCCTCCTCTCCTCTGATCTTTCCCTTTCTCCTTCATCTGCAGACCAATGAGATTGAAGAGGGACTTCAAGGGAGTGAGCTCTTTGCTCTTTTCTACATCAAAAGCAATGCAATCATGTGGCAGCCTGGAGCTCAGACCCATAGACAGTATTACAGTATTCTTTTGAAGTCTATTTTTCTCCAATCTCTCTGCTCTGTGAGGAGTGGGAGGAGAAGAAAAAAAGCAAGCAATTTTGGTAGTCAATCTCTCCCCCACCCCCAAATCCATATAACTGAAGAATGCCCAGATTGAGGAAGGGTGATTTGAGTTTTAAACACTCTTCTATGATTACAAGTGATAATCTTGCAACACAGGATTTACTGCTAATAGCTTTTGTTTATTCCTTTACTTTTCTAATATAATAAACCTAGCTCTAAAACAAATCTGTTTGCATTTCTTTTTCAGGTATCTACTGATATGGAATCTTCACCTGATAAAGATAAGATTTCAGGTCTGTTGACTGAAACTTTCTCTGTGATGAAAAAAGAATTGGATTCCCTGAAAGATGGCAATGGACTTCAAAGGAAGAAAGATCAACTGATGCAACCACAAAATATAGTTGGAATGCCATTAGGGGAGGGCAGTGGTGAAACTTTACCTAGCCCTCGGCACTTTGGAGATGACCAAACTCTTGCCTTGTTGGAACAATACTCAGAGTTACTGCTACAAGCTGTTGAACGACGTATGGATAAAAAACTTTAAATATAGTTTTCAACAACAAACACTTTTAATGGAATGCTAAGAACCATACACAATGGACAAAAACTGATGGATCATTATCATATTGACAACTTGAAATAACACTTTGGGGTGTTTTTTTAATCCAATGGGCAAATATCTTTTCTTTTAACAGAAACAGTTCTGTCCACAACTTTTTAAAATGTGCTGGTCACAGTACTAATCTCCTTGTGCCTATCTCCTCCACGAAGAGTGTTATAAGAAATATTTGGCTTAAAAACCATTCTAGCAATTAAAGAGAATTGGTCAATGGTCAGTGGTCCAGGAATGGCCCAGCCTAAAACTGCTGACTTAATAGAATGAGATCAAGCTGAAATAGCTTTGTCCCTCTGCAGTGTTATCTCAAACTAGGCATAGACTATTACAACTGTTATTTATTAATTTATTTTTACGATTATAATTCTGAAACTTTTACCTGGGTTTTGTAGTTATGGTTATTTTGACATCTTTTCCACATTTATAGTGTGAGAGATTTGATATAGTAAATATATTGATGGACAGCAGGTAGGTTATAGAACTGCTTTCTGCTGTAGCCTGTATTACTGATTTTTGCTTCCTTGTTCCTCTTTATTATGCCAATATGTTTTATTTTAATTTTGTATTCAGCATTATGATCATTCTGCTTCTGTTTTCTGTTTAAAGAAAATCCTGTGCTCTATTTTTCATTGACATTTGTTTCCACAAATCACTGGTTCTACGTCCAGAGATTTGTTACAAAGCTTGTTGGTTAAAAGAAAGGCTTTTTAAACCTGTAGTTAAAAAATAGTTGTACGTTTCTCAGGTTTTATGTAAAACCATATCCATCAGAGTCAAATTGATGCAGTTGAATAACTATCCATTTTTTAAAAATTCTTACAGCTGGGTTATGTCAGTGGCATCAGCTACTGGACTCATGATATTAGCACTGTTCTGTTTTTGTGGATATAGAAATGTAGAAAAGTTGATATGATGGGGAAGGGGTAGTGTCATAAAACAGTCACAGAACAGAGTGATGAAAGCTTGTAATCAATACAACTTCTGGGAAAGCTTCAGATATTCCTAACTTCCCAAAAAAGAGATCCCTTTTCTCTGTCTATGGCTGAAATCTGAAAACAATCCAAGTGTGAGTGTTCAGGAAATACTGATTGCTATGACATTACTATTCTATTTCCTTTCCTCCCTTACACTGGAACATAACTAAAGCTTACTGTGTTCTACATTATACCAGATTTCTCCAATTCCGTATCAATTAGCCTTTGTTCAAACAAAGAAGGAAAGTAAGTGCAGATCTACTACATCCTTTTAGCTACAGTACCCTTTGTATTGAATTATTAATCCTAACATGTCTGAAGTATTCACTGATAAAAAAGAAACCTTTTTAAAACAATAAAGTTATAAAACTTTAATACTACTCTCTCAGGTTAGAATAGCAGTGTTTCTTACTGGTGATCTGATCATTTTAATAAATGGCTTCACTGTTGTAGCCTAGCCTCCATCTTCTGCCTCCTAGTTTTGTTGAGGTTAAAACAACTTTGTTGAGAATTCTTAGCCGGTATGGTCCAAATTAAAATTCTGAAGATTTGCGCTCATAGTCAATCTAGAGGATACCATGGTGAAATAGGCTGATTTAGATATTCCTGAGTGGCTTTTGTACTTGCATTTTGTAAACTGTCATGTGAACATCTGTCTTCATTGCTCCAGATAGCTGGCCACCTCTGGTATAGCTTTTTGTCTGAATCTCATTAGCTTTCATCCAGCACCACTGCAGCGTTAAAGAAATCTGCAGAGCTGTTCCCGTTTTGGCTGTCCATTGAACTCCAAGGCTGGGGACTTGGAGCAGTTAGTGCTGTTTAATTATGTCATTTCTGGATTTGTTTAGATAATTCTCTGAATAGATTTGAATGATAGTTGGCACACTTCTTAAAACTGAGCTTTTTTCTTCCAGCTATAGATGCTTGAATCTAGAGACACAAGAAAAAGAGTCTTATTGCTAAGGATAGACTGCTGGAATATACTCTTAACTTAAGTGAAAATTAAGGTGGCTTTTTTCTACACATCCATGTTGGGAAATGTCATAATAGCCAAAATATCTTCTTCCTGTTCATATCTAGACTGTAAAAAGTGTTCAATGCTCAGGAATCTTTCCTATGCTGGAACACATGCACTCAGGTAAAGAAGTCATGCTTCCAGATATCCTGTGGCATGAACAATGAGAAATTCAGAATGTCTATTCAACCTTGACAGGGTCAAACTTTCAAATGTCTTTGGAAATAAAATCAACTTGCTGATAATTTATACCTCAAGCATTAACAAGTAATGATTAATCAGGGACTGCCTTGGATAAGAGGCAACATCAAAACCCCTGTTAATTTCAAAGCAGTTTCCAGTGAATATGTTTCATTGTGTTATTCTTATATCAGGACCTATTTATTTTCATAGACCCAAGTAGGAAAATACTGTAATACAGATAGGGACTTGGATGTGAACTAGAACTGTAGTTTTGTGAGTCTTGAGTAAGTAGATATTTAAGGAGGAATGGATAGGCCTGTAATTTCTAATATTTTGTTTAAAGGCATACTGAAGGCTTCTAGAAAAGTTATACGACTGAGAATCAGTTGATTCAAGGAGTGAAATAGAATGAAAAAGTTCTGGAATGGAAGAGAGACATTGTAAGTAGGGTTAGCAATTAAACAATAATGTAAATGAGCTCATAATTAAAAATTGAGATATGTTTGTCTTTTGAAGTACCCTTTATTTTCCCACTAATACGTATGATTTGGGCATGGGGAAGGAATATTCTCAGTCAATAAAATTTCTCAAAGCCATTTGAGTTCCATGAGATTCTGACCTCCTTTATTTTCTCTATGCGGTCAGGAAGAACCAGGAGAAAAGTCTACATATTCTCCATGGAAAATACTTGATGTAAAATACACTTTTTAGTCATTGGTGGCACCTTAGTAGACTTATAGTAATTCAAATGTAAACTTTGGAGCATTGCTTTTTAAAAAGTTAGATTATAAGAAGATTTGTGACAGTAAAATGTCAGCTAGCATACTTTTGTTTTCAACTGCATGCAGCTTTTCTGGTGTTATTATGGATGTCCATTAGCCCTTTAAGGAAACTTCAACATGTTATCTAGGGAGAGGAAAAATACAAATGCAGTATTTCAATCTGCTATTTCTACTGTTTTTAATGTATGCATGCAATTTCTACATATTAAAAAAAAAACCTCAAAGAGAAACTATAAAAGATCCATTTCTGATGTCATATTTGCATATTGTCTCTGTGTTTTCTGAAATGTTTCTTAATGTGATTTAAAATTTCTTATACTATTTCTCTTTTCAAAGATAGCCTTTATTAAAAAAAATACTGTGCATGCAAATGAGACCTATCCCTGTTTCTATAGAAACACAGGAAAACTTTCAAAGGCTGAAATATGTGCACACCAGTTATAGATATATGTATCTGGTATTTCTACATTTGAATGTCCTGTTACGTACCTGTACTTGTTTTCTTTTTTGTATAAACATCTTTTTGATATTGGGGCTTATTCACTTCTCCTTTTCACTCCAGTGATCCAGAACTTATTGATCCCAAAGAAAGAACCAGCCAACACTGAGGACAGTGTTTTAAAACATAAATAACATTGTCATGTACACTCAGCCACTGGATCTACAGAATCCAATATTTAAAATATGACATATTCAGAATGCAGAGCAGCTACTGTATGTCCCTTTGGGTACTGCTGGCTAAATTGTTATTTCTCTAGATTAAAAAAAAGAATATCCTGTATTATTTGTAAATAATAAGCTGAAGCTGGGCTGCTTATATATTGGGCTAACCTGCTGTAAATTAGGAATACAGTAAGCCATGTCTACACAATGTATCTTTAAATCTAGGGTACAGATAGCTTTTATCTGTGTTCTTTCAACACTCCCTTTTTATTTTACACTTGTTTCAAAGGAGAAAACAACCCTAAACCTTCTTATTTATAAATTGTGTTTTGTATCTTGACTTTAATGGAATATGAACCTTTTACAATGTCCTTTTTTAATTATTTGAAAATTGTTTTAATGGTTGTTGGGGATTTGCACTGTGAGCGACTTTGGGGGGGGGTATTTTTAATTCTGCATTCATTTGTATTCAATGTCTAAATTTCAATAAAGAAATTTATTGTTACAAATTTACTTTCATGCTATTGTTTACTATGATTTTGTTAAGGCAATTGATGAACTCAGTGGGGCTACAAAATAAAGTGGAATATGCTATATTTCCCCCAGTAATTTTGAACTGAGAAAACAGGCAAAAGTTCCTTAACTTATCACTACTTATTGTTCTATAAATCAATTTCCTGTGCAGTATGTGCAAATGTACATTTTGCAGGTCAACCCTCTTAGTAAACTGAGCCAATTGTTTTTCCATATGTTTCAGCAATAATCTGTTAGCCAATTTAGCTACAATGGGAAGAAATATTAGTACAAATGTACTGTATACAGAAAGACTTACATATTTTCTTGTGTGCTAATATGGTATAGATGGTAGTAATTGTAGTAATAGTTATAGTTTTGCTACAGAAAATACTTTGATTCCACAATACTGCTCAGGAGAACCACTTTGGAGTAGTGGTTCAGGCACTAGGCTAGAAACTCAGAGACTATGAGTTCCAGTCCTGCCTCAGCTACTTAGCTAGGTGATCTTCAGCCAGTCACTATTTCTCAGCCCTATGAAGGAAACAGTGACAAACCACTTCCAAAAAATCTAGCCAAGAAAACTGTAGAGTATTGTCCTGGGAGTTGGCAGGAGTCAAGACTGATTGAAAGGCACTATTTATTAATTACTGGTGCAGAATGCGGCCGCACGGGGGATTATGGGAGCAAGAGGGCGCTCCCATGTGATGCCTCTCCTGCGCGAGCTGCATTGGCTTCCAGTGGTCTTCCGGGTGTGCTTCAAGGTGTTGGTCACCACCTTTAAAGCGCTCCATGGCATCGGACCTGGGTATTTGCGAGACGCCCTTCTGCTGCCGATAGCCTCCCACCGACCAGTACGCTCCCACAGAGAGGGACTCCTCAGGGTGCCGTCAGCCAGGCAATGTTGACTGGAGACCCCCAGGGGGAGGGCCTTCTCTGTGGCAGCATCTACCCTCTGAAATGATTTGCCACCGGAGATACGAAGAATACCAGATCTCCGGGCCTTTCGCCGTGCCCTAAAAACTTTTCTTTTCCATCAAGCAGGCCTGGCGTGACACCCCCCCCTTTTTTAGCTCTTTTTAGCTTTTTAAGTGTAAATTGGGTTTTAATTGGATTGTTTTAAATTGTGGGCCAAAGCTGTATAATTCTTTTAATTGATTTTAAATTTTGTATTGGTATGTTTTTATCCTTGGCTGTGCACCGCCCTGAGTCCAATAGGAGAAGGGCGGTATATAAATTGAATAAATAATAAATAATAATAATAATAATAATAATAATAATAATAATAATAATAATAAAATTAATCAAATATATATAGCTGCCCATCTCACGAGAAGTGACTTTATGAATATTGTATGTTTGCCTCTGCATGTTTTACAACATTTGCATTGTATGTTTTGCAAATAAACCCTTACCTATGGTAATGGATAGGAGAGTCAACTTCAGTGAGATGAGCAGCATACAAGCCTGATAAATAAATACAAAAAGTGATTGTGAGTCTGGACTCGGCAGGATTATGCACTGCGATTAAGGTAAACTAAATGAGACATACTCCTTAATCACCATTGAATTTGTGGTCTGGATTGGGATGATAGTATTTTAATTGGGTTGTCAAAAAGCATATTTTAATGATTATATACGTTTACTTTGATTTGGGAGTGAGCTGAAACTGCATCCTTTGAACCAATATTAGTATACTGTGGTTTGCTTTTGGCATTTTTCTGCCAAGTGAAACCTAATTAGAATTTTTCCAGCAGGGGTGTGCTTGTGTGATGAGGCGTCTCTAGGGCTGAAGACTCTTCTGTCTTCATACTGAACCTAACCGCAGAACCTGAAATCCAACACAATTTTGGACAGTTTTTATCTTGTGGGGATTGTGTGAAACTCGTAAATTTTGTGGCGCCGCTGGGGTTTACATTTAACACGTTTTTCCTCCAGAGAAACTGCTCGTGTTCTTTTCATGTATTCAAATCATGTTTATACTTGTATCTGTTATCTTATATATGCTTGACAACTAAATACATGAAATGGTCTTGCACACATGCCGCAAATTACACAAAAAAGGCGGCCCGAGCGCTCTGTCAGCTCGAGACCCAAACGTCTCCCTTCTGTCTCGCGACTGAAGTCGGGGGGGGGGGGGGGGGGGGGGGGGGGAGCCGTGAGGCGCGTGCAGCGTCTTTCTCTGCGGAGGGAGAAGGCGGAGCCTGGGAATGGGCGTGGACTAAGGCCGGGTTGTTCTGTGTGTGCGCTCAGATAAGGCTCCCCGATGGCGGAGGCTGAAAGGAAAGAGGGGACGCTGCAAGCGATGAAGCGCTGTTTGTCTGATTTTCCAACCGAAGCCCGGGGTGAGCGGGATCTGGCTGTGTAAATGAGAGGCACGTTAGAGGCAGCGAAAGCTACACCCACCCACCCCCACCCTTCGGTTCTACCAGTGCATAAATGGAAGTAAGAGTATACAATCCACTTATGGACTAAGAATAACCGGAAGAAAAGAGAACGATAGTTATTTAATACCAGGCTGGATATTGCAGCGTGTGAGACCACATTCTTTTACAGGGGGAGTTTTTTTAAGATTAGAAGTTGTCTCTCGCCGATTGGGCTCTGCGTTAAGGCGATCCAAAAATCGAGGGATGCCCCCACTTCTCTGCCCTGGAGATCTGCAAAAACGAAAAAAACCCTGACTACTAAATCTGCCCCCCCCAAATAAAAAGAGCCGGCATAGTTTTGCTGCCATCTAGGGAACATCCGGATATTTGCATCGCAAAGTTGGTAGTGCCCCACGTGGATCATGGTAACCCTGGCGATCTTAGAATCCTGGTTGGCTACTTTCCAAAACAGGGAGTTCTGGTGCACAAAATACTGTACATTCTGTAACAAAGCAGTGATAATGAAATGTCATATGGAGGCATTTGGTAGAAATACAGCTAGGCAGATGGGGCATAACATTACCAAAGCCTAGGCCCATTCAATTGTGGCACTTAGCAGTCCCAACCTGCACAGCAAAAATATAAGTATACAGTATAGTTTTAAGAATTATTCTACTGCCCCGTCTGTTACTGAATCTTCTGGGAAGAATGAGAGAATTATAACTGCACCAAGAAAAACTGTAGCCAGAGTTGTCAAATGATTGTCAAAAGTTGTCAAATGATTGCAGTGTTCATGGATTTTTTTTCCTCTGTGAATAGAGTTGTGTTGGTCAGAATCCGTGCCATACCTTGATATTCTTCCGCCTCCCCTGGAATTCTACCGGGAATGGATCTGCCCAAACAAACCATGTATAATCCGAAATGCTTTCCACCACTGGCCGGCTCTGAAGAAGTGGACCTTGGGTTACTTGAGGTAGGAGGCTACAAGTAATAAAGATGGGATGTGTGCGCGTGTATGTGTATACACACACACACATATATATACATACATACATACACGCGCCTGCATACACACACCTCAATCACTTATATGATGTCTTTGATGATGATGTTTCCAGCACATCTGAGAATGTTCTTGCCTAAAATATTGTGACTATTTTTTCTGGCATAAATCTGTGTTACTTGCACAAAGATAAATCTCTTCTGATATTTTTGTTGCAGGCGAGTAATGGGCTCCAAGCTGGTGAGTGTGGCAGTAACCCCCAATGGTTATGCTGATGCAGTTTATCAGGACTGGTTTGTTATGCCAGAGGAGCGTCATATGCCTTTTGGTGCTTTTTTGGACATTTTGGAGAAAAAGATAACTTCTCCAGGGGTGTTCTATGTGCAGAAACAGTGTTCAAACCTGACTGAGGAATTTCCTGAACTTATAGGTGATGTGGAGCCTGAGATACCTTGGATGAGCGAAGCACTGGGTGAATATTAAAATCCCAATATTCCAAAATTGGTACTATATTAGGCAGCTGCTTTCTGGCTTTGGAATGCTCCAAGTTTGCATTGTTCATGGAGATGTTGCAATCAAAATTGATGGTTTTATTACTGTGCATGTAGTTCCCATATAAATAATAACTTATGTGCCTTTTGATGATGTTGGTTCACAATGGCCAAGAGTCTTTGAGTTGTGTAGTAGAGATTGCCTGCTAAGACTTTAGCAGAAGTATTTTAAGTTATTAAATGCAGTTAACATTATTCTGTGTATCCTAAATTAAATATCAAATGTTTAATTTGTCAAACACATGCAGGCCAGCCCAAGGTTTTTTAAATGTTTCATAAAGCCCTAAAACCACAACACTAAAACTGTACAGTGAAATCTATTTAAATAATTATATCTGGGTGTTGCCAAACTTGCAGAATACTAGGAGAAGTTTCCTTGGTGGGTGGCTACTGCAGAAAATTGCATTAGATGATTTATTAGATCCCTTCCAATTCCTAGAGAATTCCTGATTCTCTGAGTTTTAATTTTAAGTAAAAATCTGAAGAGAATGAACATGAGAAAGACAGTTTAGTCTAGTCGTTAAAGCACCAGGCCAGAAACCAGGAGACTATGTGTTCTAGTCCTGCCTTAGCCATGAAAGTTGGCTGACTTTGGGCCACTCACTCTCTCAGCCCACGACATCAGACTTGGTCGATCTGAAAATAGCAGACCCTGCATTTTCAGGAAAATGCTAGGAAGGAAAAAAAAAATAGAATGAAAATGAGCCTGTTGTCAGCTGCTTTCACTGAGAATATAAAATTATTCATCCTTGTGCATAATAGTGATAATATATATTTCTGAGACATTAACAGCTGTTTCTTCCAGATTTATTTAGAAAGGATGTTAAGAAAGGCAGCTAATTGATTGAGTGAAAATAAAATTCTTTACCAGTAGATCTGCAAGATAAGATAACAGAAACCCAGACCCTTTTTTGATTTGACTTTTTTTAAAAAAATAGGAAAGAAGCCCGATGCTGTGAATTTCTGGCTGGGAGAATCTTCCGCAGTAACCTCATGTACGTATGAGATCAGTGCATTCTCTGCTGCACCAAAGGTACTTTTTCAAGAGGCAACTAGACTTTCTGGTTTTTCTTTGAAGATGTTTTGCTTCTTATGCAAGAAGCTTCTTCAGCTCAGAAGTTTCCTGGATGAGAAGCGAAATGTCTTCAAAGAAAAACCAGAAAGTCCAGTTGCCTCTTGAAAAAGCACCTTTGAGATAGTCATGACCTGGATGACTGACAATCTCCATAGACATTCTCTGCTGCAATTCATAATTGGAAGGCAAATTTGGGCACCAAAACATTTTTAAAAAAATAAAGGAAAATTTCTTTTGCGGAACAATATTTGAAATATCTTCCTTAGTCCTAATTGTTACTATAACTGAACCTAGTTTCCTCCACTCCCACGTTGCAGTTACTTCATCTGGACAGAATTTTGGAGGGAAGGAAGTGGGTTGGAGGGGTGATCAGAAGACACAGGATTACAAATAACAGGCAATGATGCTTGGACTCAGTTCAGGGAATCGGACAGAGTGTAATGAAAGGCTTACCTAGAAATCTCTTCTGAGTTTTTTTTTTCCAAGTCCTGATTGCTGAATATCATTATAATCTGTATCTAAAATGAGTGGTGGATAGCAAAATAAAAAACCAAGCCAATTCATGGACTGTGCAAGCATATGGAATTATGCTAGTCCTTATAAATTCATGCTTGTGCTTTATTTTTGTGCTATGTTTGTAATGGAGGTAACAAATGACCAATTCCCTCTTCCTTTTCCCAGTCTTTCATTTTTCTCCCTCCAATCTTAGTACACAAAGACCATTATGAAAACTTGTACTGCGTGATTTCTGGAGAGAAACATTTTTTGTTACATCCGCCAAGTGACCGCCCCTTCATCCCATATGGTAGGTATTTTGAGAAATGGATAGGAATGGTGTTGGCTACATGACGCTGATATTTTGTGAGTCATTCAAAAAATGCCTGGGCTTCAACTTCTCCAATATTTTGCTATACAGCAGGGACTGTGGGTTTTTTTTTACTAAGCAAAGCAAGGATAATCACCATACAGCACAGATGCATATTTGATAAATACAGCTGAGGTTTATGAGAAGCTTGGAAAAGGCATAAGAACATGAGATCCTTTTGGTACCTCTTGGCCCATCTCTCTTCTGTTGCTTTGGCTATTTGTTCACCCAGGAGATGTTAACTGTAGTCAGATGAGGAAAACATTATAGGTAGTCCTCGACTTACAACCATTTGTTTAGTGACCATTCAAAGTTACAACAGTACTGAAAAAAGTGATTTATGACTGCTTTTCACACAACCATTGTAACATCCTTTTGATCATGTGATTAAAATTTGGACGCTTGGCAACTGGTATATATTTATGACAGTGTCCTGAGATGTGATCACCTTTTGCAACCTTCCTACAAAAGCGAAGTCAAGGGGGAAGCCAGATTCACAAGTGTGTTACTAACTTCACTGCACAGGTTTCCTTAACAACTGTGGCAAGAAATGTCGTAAAAAGGGGCAAAACCAGGGGTGAAATGCTACCAGTTTGGACCAGTTCACCCAAACCAGTAGTAAAAAAATGCTATAGGTTTGGGCAAACTGTTATTTCCGAAATCTGCTTTCTAGTGAATCTAAATCGTGCAGCACAGCTGTTCCCTCTCCCCGCTGTTCTACTTACCTTGGAAAAGGCTTCTTAAGCCTCCTTGTTCAGCGCTGCGTAGTAGCACTTGTGTGCATGCGCGCACAGTGTGTGTTTGGCACCCACTCTGCATGTGCACGCAGTGAAACAGTAGCAGACTTTGGAGCATTTAACCACTGGGCGAAATACACTTAACAACTGTCTTGCTTAGAAAAGAAAATTTTGGGCTCAGTTGTGGTTGTAAGTCAAAGACTACCTGTGCTTCGGCATAATGCACTACAATAACCTTTCCTAACCTGTTACTCTATAAATTATTGGAACAATAATTTTGTGGGCTGGGCATTTTGAGAGTTATATTCCTCAAACATCTGGAACACGTCGTGCTGGAGAAGGCTATACTGTAGATCTCAAATTTTTGGCACAATTTTTGGAAGAAAAAAATCAGTAACCAAACTAGGGATTACATGGGATTTGTGGTTTTTTTCCTGCTTTTAAAATATTTATAAAAGCATCTACGTGAAAGGGGGGACATTTTGGAATGATGCTGTTGGTAAGGGGGAGGGGGAGGGTCTACTGCTTGCTAAATTCCCTTCTTCTGAAATTGCTGTTAACTTTGAAGGAGAAATGTTATGGTTAAAATTTTCCAATGCTGATATATATTGAGGAGCTAGAATTTGGATTGATTAATCAAAGAATTATACGGTATTTATGCTGTGTATGGCTTCTTTCCAAACTCTTCTTCCCAGTGTGGCTTAAAAAGAAAGGCAGAAAAAGAGAATTCCAGTCATGAATTCCCACAGAATGCCTAATTTGTCCTCAATATTAAAACAGATAGTTTATATGTGGACTTATATATGATTTTTAAATATTTATATAAATAAATACATACATACATATACTTTCTCCAGCTATATATACATTCAAGTTCAGATTTCTGGAAAAAATGATTACTAGTAAAACAATCTGTTTCAAGGGTAACAATCTGTATTAAATGGTAAAATACCCCATGGTGCGCCTGTGAGTTTGCCACATTGCCCTGAGGTGCTGTGGTACATACACAGTGTGGGAATTGCAGAGTTAATTGTAAACAATACACTTCTGTATGTACTTCATGTTCTAGAGTTATATCCACCAGCAACTTACCACATCTCAGAAGATGGGTCATTTGATATTCTGGAAAATAAAACGGCAGAGAAGGTATGCTTAACTTTCAGTCTACTTTATAAACTTACTATTATATCTTATTAGTTTAAAAATATTTTAATGATCCTCCTCTCAAGTTATCAGGTTGCCCTGCGCTGATCCCGCCTCCTCCTCCTCAATTCTCCATGCTCGGGGATGGGGGGGGGAAGTAATTGCTCATCTGCTCTGCTGCCTGCCCTGTCCTCCCCCCTTGAATGGTCCTCCGTTGCCCCCTCTCCCTTGCTGGCGATCCTTCCCAAGCCTGAGGGACCTGGGACTGCCTTGTCCTGCTCCTCAAATCGTTCCTCCATTGGCCCTAGCTCTGTCTCATCTTCCTCTTTGGATTCGGGCTCCGACAGGGCCATGACACATGTTGGAAATGAAAAAAATGCACTGAGGAGAGGCTTCCGTCTAGCTACTCTGCCATAAAGCCCAGATCGGTATAGGACGGCAGTGATGGTTGTTCTTCTGGAACTCTGTCCCATCTCTACATTAATTGTTTTAAAAAATATTTTGATATTTGGTTGTATTGCTTAATAATTGTGCAGGATTCTATTTTCAATGTTTTTCAAATATTTCTCTTAAATGATTCAATTCTGGAAGAAATAATTATCTTATTAATATCATATTAATATCATATTAACCTTTCATCCACAAAGGTACCCTGGATCCCTTTAGATCCTTTAAGTCCAGATCTGAAACAATACCCAGAATATGCTCAGGCAAAGCCTTTAAGATGTACTGTGAAGTCTGGTGAAATGTTGTATCTTCCTTCTCTTTGGTTCCATCATGTTCAGCAATCACATGGCTGCATAGCAGGTAAGAAAAATGCCGAAGGTATCTTTTAATTTATAATAGCTACAAGCTCACCAGATTTCTCTGTCAATATGTAAATGATTTCCTTCTTCTGTCTTCAGTTAGATTGTATTCAATGTTATTCCAAAATATCAAATCAAATCTTTATTATCATCATAGGCCAGTATAAGAAAGGTGGGATGCAGTCAATTTAAAAGCATAGAAAACACATCAGAATGTACAGTAACAAAAGAAAAAAGTGAAAACCTAGGTGATATATAGGATATATGTATTAAAAACGAAAGTATATATAAAAAACAAGCTTAAAAAGAATCTAAAAACAAGAGTAAGAGCATTAGATGAGCGTAGGGATCTTTAAAGGTTATTATACTTACCCAGCAGGAGAGATATTGTGATCATTTCAAAACAAACCACTTGTAGGCATAGATCTGGCTTCACTCACTCAAATTGTACTCATGGAATAGTTCTGCAGACAGAATGTTAGAGAGAGTCTTCGGTGACCTTGAGGAGATTGCAAAAGAAAGAATTGCTAAAAATGACCTTTATCATCTTCTAGTAGTTGGGATTTCTGCTTGAAATAATATTTATTTTTTGGAAGGCAACTCAGGATCCAAGCCAACCTTTGAATAGATGAGATCTGAAAATAATATTGTATTTGAATTGGAAAGTTCAAATTCTACCACTATACTTTGACAGTTTAGCAGTTTCTCTGCTGCAGTTTCTCTGCTGCAAATCAAAGTAAGAATTGCATATATTCTGTAAGTAGTCCTTGATTAATGACCATTTCTTCAGTGTCTGTTTGACGTTACTGTAGTGCTGAACAAGTAGAACTTATGACTAGTCATCTCTGCACTCTTATGATCATAAACTGGGTGTAAGGTCTCTCCTCAGTGGTCCCCTCAGGAAAACAGAACTCTTGAAACAGGTAGCATTTTAAAAGGAACTTTTATTGGGTGACAGTGATAGCAAAGAGAATAGGCAGGATCTAAAGTTATCGCACTAGAACGTTAGATTAAAAGTTGTTTGTCAAAACCCCTCCCCACTGCTCAGTCCGACAAGAGCCAATCACCAGATGTTGGGTTGTTGTGAGAACTTTGAGCTAAGAAGGTGATAAGCTGTTCTCAGGCACCGCACTCCCGTCTTCTTCGGAGCTGAGACAAAACAGATGGCCCCAGGCCCATCCCTCCCCAGGAAGACACATCAAAGTAAAGGACCAAAGCAAGTGACAGATCATAAAAATACCAAGGCTCCCTCCTCCCGCCAGAATGGCAGCGTCCTGATAGGGAACTATGGGGACCTGACACCGGGCCTTGGCAACTTGATGGTTGCAGTGTCCTGCAGGCACATGCTGGCCATTTGTGACCTTCTCTGCCAGCTTCTGGCAAGCAAAGTCATTGGAGAAGCTGATAGGGAAGTTTGCAAGTCATTCCTGTCGTTCACTTTTGTGGCTTTTTCCCCTGAGGAGCCCAGCTATGGAGTACACAGTCCCCGGGAACTCATTCAACTTAGTGTGCACCTGCCAGCAGCACCCACCCGCCACGCACTCCATACCATGCTCACATGACTGCATTCACATGGCAGCCACCTGCGCACCTTCTGCACCTGTATTCTCCCCTCAGTCACTCTTCTGCCATGCCACAGCAGTCACTTACCTGCCCGCCAGCCTGCTTGCCAGCTTGCCTGGGATTTGGTACTTCTTGCCAGCTTTCCCATGAATTTTGCTTGTTGGAAGCTGGCAGGGAATTGCAAGGGGGTCCTCACTTAACAACAGCAATGAGGACTGCTGGAATTGTGGTTGCTAAGGGACGAGCTCACGTAACATTGCTGTTTGCAACCATATTGCTTAGCAATAGAAATTGCACTCCTAATTAACATAATTAAGCAAGGACTACCTTGGTTATGTTCATTTAAAGTAAAGATCATCTTTACAATGGATTCTATATGATGTCTCACTACTTCACACTCACCACCCCCTTTTTTAAAAAGTAAATTCTGTTTCCATGAAAAATACATAAAACTAGATTACATTTGAAAATATTGTATCAGAATGCCATTATAGCCATGTAGTAACTAATGCTAGTAATAAAGTTGTTTATTGAAGCAGAACTGTTTAAATCTCTTGGCTGAGTTTATTTAAAATGGGCAGAAAAATTGGATTACTTCCTTCCAAGGTTCCAATGACAGAATCTCTAAAAACCCAGTGTTGCATTGAGAATTGGTAATAATATTAAGGGTAGAATCTTCAGATTATCTGTATGTTTGGTTTTTAATTTGCATTGAATCATAGAGTTCCTTATAAAGCTTAAATTATGAGGTAAGAATACTATTAATACTATTAAAAGACTTTTTCTTTCTTCCTCAGTGAATTATTGGTATGATATGGAATATGATCTAAAATACTCCTATTATCAGCTGCTGGATTCTCTCACCAAAGCTGCACAACCAATGTTGGATTCTTCTTGGAACAGCTGAACTTTTACATCTGATGTGGAATTGTGCTTACAATTTTTCTATATCTTTATTCATATAATTTAAATAAATAATTGCATAATTGATCTCATAATGCAAAAGGCAATTTTTATATCATATGAATGCATTATAGGAGATGTTGGCCAAACTCTATCTTACACAGCTGTTTTCCTATTTTTAGTGAAATACTGTATTTTTCGTACTATAAGACGCACCTGACTATAAGACGCACCTGACTATAAGATGCAGCTAAATTTAGTAGAGGAAAACAAACCAAAAAAAAAAGTTTTTGGCCTACCTTTTTTCGGCCCTTTTCCAATCTTTTTTCAGCCTGTTTCCGGGGCTTTTTTCAGCCCGTTTTCAAGGCCTTTTTTTTTTTTTTTTGCCCATTTCCGAGGCTTTTTGGGGGTGTTTTTGAGACTTTTTTTGGCCCATTTTTGAGTTTTTTTCAGACCGTTTTTTTTGAAAAAACGGGCCAAAAAAAGCCCCCAAAACGGGCTGAAAAAAGCCCCGAAAATGGGCCAAAAAAGCCTAAAAACAAGCCAAAAAATGATCTGAAAATGGGGCGTGCGGAGGCCAAAAAAAATGGCAGGTGGGTGCAGCTTTGGCAATATTCAGTCTATAAGAGACACAGACATTTTTGCCCCCTTTTGGGAGACAAAAAAATGTGTCTTATAGTCCAAAAAATACGGTACTTTGCCTCATCACTGTGTCAGTTACCAAATCATATTCTGATTAACAGTTTTATCTTTTAAAAATTAAGCAGATTTTCTATCTTCATTTCAATGAGATTTCAGGTTAATGTTTGGAAATGACACCATCTACTTCGTGTAAAATGGATTCCTGCAGATAAAGTGTTTTAATGCCCTCAATATCATTCAACATCTGTATTTGTCTGTTGGATGAAAAAACATGGAGTAGTATCTGCTAGCTTTCTGTTTCTTTACCCATTAGGCCTTCAGGCAATATGGTCATCTCTTAGTTTGGGCCTTGTTCAAGCATTTCACTATGTCACACAGTTTGCACTGCAACCATTGCAACATTTCTGAGTTTCAAGGATAGAAGCTGCCTCTCAGAATGAAGTGGATGAACACGTACCCAGCAAGGAAAAGAATACATTGCAGAATACTTACTTTTGTCATAATTTCTCTGACAGTACAGATAGTATTCAGGTTACCACCTCATTAATCCCTATAAACCTATAATGGGATTAAATGGGCTTCCAGCTAAACCAGTGGACGACATGATGGCTACTATGTGTCCTAACTACACAAACTGCTAGCTTTATTTGACCCACACACTTCTATCTCTGTGAGGACTGATGAACTGAGGATGATTAAACTCTTCCCTTGTTGGAACAATACTCAGAGTTACTGTTATAAACTGTTAAACGACATATGGATAAAAAAAATCTGTTATTGAGGGACTACTTATTTTTTAAAAGATTGTGGGGTACCACAAGGTTTCGTCTTAGGCCCAGTACTCTTCAACATCTTCATAAATGACTGATTAGGGAACAGAAGAGGAACTCCTCAAATTTGGAGATGACACTAAACTGGGAGGAATAGCCAACACCCTAGAAGATAAGTTCAGGATCCCAAAAGATCTTGACAGACTTGAACAATGGGCCCTATCCAACAAAATGAAATTTTAATGTAGAAAAAAGCAAGGTTTTTACACTTAGGTAGGAAAAACCAAAAATACAGATATAAATTAGGCAAAACCTGGCTCAAAAACAATAACTTGAGAGGGACCTAGTGGAAGATCACTGAAATATGAGCCAATAGTGTGTGTCAGCAGCCAAAAAAGCTTATACAATCCTTGGTTGTATAAACAGGCATTGAATAAAAATCAGGTGAAGTACTACACCTGGAAAACTCTATCCAGTTTTGGTCGCCACATAACAAAAATGTTGAGACTGGAAAAAGTGCAAAGAAGAGCAACTAAGATTATTAAAGGCCTGGAAACGAAAACATCAAGAATATCAAGGATTTGAGTTTGGCTAGTCTAGAAAAAAGGACTAGGGGGCGCATGATAGCAGTATTCCAGTATTTGAGAGGTTGCTACAAAGAAGAAGGGGTCAATTTATTTTCCAAAGCACCAGAGGGAAGGAAAAGAAAGAATGGAAAGTAGTCAAGGAGAGAAGCAACCTGGAATTAAGGAGAAACTTCCTAACAGAACAATTAATCAATGGAACAGCTTTCCTCTAGAAGTTGTGGTTGTTTCATCACTGGAGGTTTTAAGAAGAGACTGGAGAATCACTTGTCTGAAATGGTACAGGGTCTCCTGCTTTAGCAGGGGGTTGGACTAGAAGACCTCAAAGGTACCTTCCAGCTCTGTTCTGATTGATTGATCTATTATTGTCTGATGAAGACAAGCATAATTAAAGAATTTGCATTGTTTGCTATGGCTGCAAAGGAAGATGCAAAAGCACATTTTGACAAATAGTGCTGTTAATATTATGGGGGGGGTCTGTTGAACTAATATGATTGCTGTAATTTCATGTGTTCAACATCTATGGTTGCAAATAAATATTTACATAAATGTGCAATAAATAAATAATCTTTGGGCTCCTAATGAACATGATTTACAATAGACATCATGGCAATATTTTAATAGGCCAGTTGTTTTAATAGGATATTCTCATATTTTTGAGTAGCTTTGCTGGTCACAAAATCTCTATGTCATATAACTAAAGCCAACGTTCTCACTTTTGCTTTTTGATTGCCAGTTCTGCTGTGCAAGAGGGCAAACTCCAGCAAGGCAATTCTTGCAACCACTTGGCAGTTCGCAGGGCTGATTTGACTTCTGCTTGGTAGCTCCCGCCCATAATTTGTCAGAATTTTGTGACTATTTTTATTTCTGATTTTAAGAACTACATTTCCCAGAAACCCTCGCCGCGTGGTTTTATTCGCCGCCCTAAATCCTTCGGATTATAAACTGGGAGCCAAAGTCCAGAGAGCAAAATAAACCCGCCCGGGATCTGAGCAGGGGGAGAGGGAAGCTTGGCGGGCTTTAGCAAAGTTGCTCAGATGGCGGCGCGCATTCTGATCTTGCCTTCTCCCGCCTGCCTGTATGACGAGCCAGTCCAGGTGAAGATCGAGGGCCTCTCTCCGCTACAGGAGGTCACCGTCTCGGCCTCTCTGGTGGATGAAAGCGGCAACCTTTTCCAATCGCGCGCCTACTATCGGGCTGAAGGTAACGGAGCCTTGGACCTCAGCTGCTCCCCGTCGCTGGGTGGGAGCTACTGCGGGGTCGAGCCCATGGGCTTACTGTGGACGCTGGAATCCCCGACGCCCCATAAGAGGCTGAGGAAGACAAACGTCCTCACCCCTTTCTGTGTCACCTACGAGGTGTACGACGGGCGCGGAGTCAGCGGCTCGCTCCTTTGCCGCTGCCGCAGCGAGAGGCGCTTCATGGCCGAAGGCGTGAAAAGAGTGCCCGTCCGAGAAGGCCGGCTCAGAGCCACGCTTTTCTGCCCGCCCGGTGAGTTGCAACTTGCCCGAGTGGATGGGCTGAAAGGCCGGGGGTCGCGGGGCTGAGATCCCTGAAACAAACACGCTTAGCAGGCAGCGAAAGACCTCGCTGGAAACGATTTCCTCCTTAAAGGTAGATCATTGAAATTAGCGGAGCCCCCCCCCCTTCCATCCCTGGAGTTGCTTTTGCTTCCCTTCTAGGTTCCCAAATCCAGGTCCAGTCATATGAGCAAGACTGGATCTCTAGAAATTGCTATAGAGTACAGCTCTACTGGTGATGTCTTAAGAGTGGCAGGTGTGCTTTTGATTTTTAATCTCCATTTTATGCCTTTCTTCTTCCCTCCCAAGTCTAGGTGTTCTTCGCTGTGGATGCAACATATGGTGTACGAAGTTAAAGATTAAAATGTCACAGTTGTAGGCCATAAAACCTGGATTAAAATTCGAAGGAAACTAATTTATCAAACAGCAGCATTAAATCAAAATAGTTAATATACAGAATTTTTCTGGGTGAAAAACTCCCTGGTGCCCATTTATCATAGACTACGCAGTGAAGCAAGGCTTCACTAGTACTCTTAAAACAGGCCTGTCCAGCATTTATTCTACAGGTGTGCTGGATATCTCTAAATCTCTAGATGGTTTGATTTGAGTTTCTACTCAATTCTGGGGCTGGTCTCTGAATTTTCTTTCCAAAAGTATTAGCCTGTTTGGTTTTATAATCCTGTAAAACCCTGTTCTTTTTCATGTCTTTTTTTAGGCCCTGGACCTTTCCCAGCACTTATTGACTTGTATGGATCAGCAGGCGGAATGGTGGAGTACAGAGCAAGTCTTTTGGCAAGCAGAGGTTTTGTTACACTGGCGCTTGCTTTTTTAGCTTTTGAAGATCTCCCCACTTTCCCAGAGTTCATTGACTTAGATTATTTTGGTGAAGCAATAAAGTTCTTGCAGAAACAACAAAAGGTATCCAAACAAACTAAGATCATGGGTGATGGGGCGTTGACTTTTGAGCAAGAAATAATGCTTTTGTAGTTTTGTAGTGCATCACAGTTAATCTTTAGTCTTGTTGGAACTGAAACCCTTAGTTTATACTGAGATTCATAAATGCAAATTTATCTTAAGCTGATGCTGAAGCAGTCTTGGGTTTGATTCCAACTTGTGTTGCAAAAAGTTCTATTTGTGCACCCTCCCTCAACTTACTTTTCTCCAAATTTGTTATGTATTTTGAATCTTATAATTGTAGATCATCTGAAGGAAATGAAGTTGGGAGATAAATTATAATTAATGGGGAAAGAATGAATATGGATATGAAAGTAATCCTTTTCCTATGGTTTCAGGTTAAATCAACGAAAATTGGAGTTGTGGGACTATCTAAAGGTGCAGATCTCGCTCTTGCCTTAGCTGCATTTTGTCCAGACATCCAAGCTGCTGTCAGCATTTCTGGCTCGGGGGTAAATGCTTTTTTCCCCTTGAAACTGAAAGGACACATCATTCCACCTTATCCTTATAATTTGGACAAGGTTAAATCTACTGATGTTCCGAATGTACTGAATTTTACTGAAGTAATGGATGACCCCAAAGACCCATCGACCTGGCCATGCCGCATCCCTGTTGAAAAGTCCTTAAGCAAGTTCCTCTTCATATGTGGACAGGATGACAAACACTGGAAAAGTCAAATGTTCTGCCAAGAAGCTGTTAGCCGCCTTCAGCAGAATGGATGTCATGTGGAGCTCTATTGCTATCCTGGAGCTGGGCACCTCTTGGAGCCTCCTTATATGCCCTTGTGCTATATTTCATTTCACAAGGCAATTGGGGCCCTTGTAGTCTGGGGCGGAAAGTGGAAAGAACATGCAGAGGCACAGGAAGATGCTTGGCAAAGAATATTAGCCTTTTTCAGACAACACTTGCTGGAGTCAACTTTGAAAAGTACTTTATAGGATGCAGTTTCGTACTTGCTTGTAAGAAAGGCAGAATTGCTTGTCCTACTTTAGATGTCAGTTGGTAACCAAGTTAAACTCAGAGTGATGGTCTTTAGAAAGTATATTTTGCCACTTTGAGGTACACCAATGGGGCACCACAATTTTCATTAGTTTGGTGAAAACTCTTCCAGCTGCAGACCTTTAAGAATAGAATATTCTTAAGTGCCTCTTCAGTGCCTCTTCTGCAAGGGCAGAGACCAACTTTGGGTTCATCTTTTTCCTTCATGGTTTACAGCCCTTTCAACAAAGTGGCCCAGACAAGGAAGTTTTGATGGGGTGTTATACGGGTTTTTAGCTTTATCTGATTTAATTAGGCATTTTAACTTTGTATAATGGATTATTTTGGTTTTTATTGTTGTGAGCCGCCCTGAGTCTGTTGGAGATAGGACGGCATATGTCTAATAAGCCTAATAAAATAAAATAAATAAATAAAATAAATAAGTTTGTATCTCAGCAGGTGCTAGGTTGCTGAGCCCATCATGAATATTCTCTGCAGTTTCTCACCATGAACAGTTGAGAGATTTAACTTCATTTTAAGACTCTTCTCTCTTTTTTTATAGTCAGGTTTTTTATTTATAAGTATTTTGAAGACTTATTTTGTCTGGGCATTTCATTTTACAAAAGAAGGAAAAAATAACAGATATACTGATAGTAATAATGATTATACACATAATTAAAACCGTATTTATAATTATATTAGCTTATTTATCATCATATTAATTATAAACAACGTATTTTATTTAAAAAATATATTAAAAAGCAGAGACATTACCCTGCCAACTAAAGTGCCTAGAGTCAAGGCTATGGTTTTCCCAGTTGCAATGTATGGCTGTGAAAGTTGGACCATAAGAAAGGCTGAGCGCCAAGGAATTGAGGCCTTTGAACTATGGCGCTGGAGAAGACTCCTGCGAGTCCCTTGGACTGCAAGGCAATCAAACCGGTCAGTCCTAAAGGAGATGACTGCTGACTGCTCTTTAGAAGGCCAGGTCCTGAAGATGAAACTCAAAATACTTTGGCCACCTAATGAGAAGGAAGGACTCACTGGAGAAGTGCCTAATGCTGGGAAAGATTGAGGGCAAAAGAAGAAAGGGACGACAGAGAACAAGATGGCTGGATGGAGTCACTGAAGCAGTAGGCGTGAGCTTAAATGGACTCCAGAGGATGGTAGAGGATAGGAAAGCCTGGAGGAACGTTGTCCATGAGGTCGCGATGGATTGGACACAACTTCGCTACTAACAACATTTATGATCATATTAATTGTACTAGCATACTTATAGTTATAAACAACATATTTTACTTACTTATAACAATCTTCGCCCTCTAATTCCGTTAATTTCCTGTGTAATTTATTATAAAATTTTTCTTGTTTTATGCTTGGTGCATAAATTATTACTAACAGAATTTTCCTATAGTTTGTACTTATTTCCATTATTAAAATTCTTCTGTCTTTATCACTAAATATTTTCTTAGGGTTTAACCAATCTTTTATATATTCAGCAATCCCTCTTTTTTTTTTCTGTGCCAATGCCGAAAATACTTCCCCTAATTTAGGACATTTTATGAGATCACTATTTTTTTCCTTAATATGTACCTCCTGGAAGCAGATGATATCCATTTTCTCTTTTGGTAATCTTGATAGTATTTGTTTACGTTTAGTAGCTGAGTTGATGTTGTTTATATTTAGTGACATCATCTTTATTTCATTTTCCATCTTCTTACTTACCCATTGATCTCAGTCCTCTCCTTGCTCTGTTCTCGGTCTGTGCTCTGGTTCTGGCTCCTTCCCTTACTTGACGCTCTACTTCCTTATGGTCTCTTGTGTCTTGTTCTACAATTTTTTCTTCCGAAATCTGATCTTCCTGGCTTTTACTTTCTCCTTCTTCTTCCTTGCTATCTTGTTCGTCTTCCCTGCTTATATAGTGATCAGAATGTGTCAATCCGAAATTTTTTCTCCTGCCACGTTATCAACATCCCCTCCAGGATGAGCCATCGAAACATCACTCTATGTTTTAGTAATTGTGTAGAGAGAAAGTGATAACTTCGTCTTTGCTCTCTTACTCTTTTTGGAATTTGTTTCAGTACAGTAATCTCCTTTCCATTGAACATCAGTGGGTCTTCTTGTGTTTTAATGTATATTTCATCTCTTATTTTTTTCCTGACAAATTTAACGTGGACTTCTCTCGGGAGTCTGTTCCTCCATGCATAATTTGTGTGGCTCCTAGATGCCTCATCGATTTCGTTTTCCATTCTTGTTTACCTTTTTGCAATATTTCCGCTAGTAGCTCAGCCATCAGTGCAGGAAGATTTTCTTCCTTGTTTTCCTGGATATTTTGAAAGCGGAGATATACCATCGATTTCTCCATCTCCAAATTTATTATGTCTCCTTCCAGTTCCTATGTTCCAACATCATTTTATTCGTTACTATGTCCATTTTATTCTCCATATCTTCTGATCCATATCTTTTGTTCGTTTATTATCACCTCCTGCATTGTACAAATTTTATCATCTAACTTTCGCATCTCCTTTATTTCCCCCTTTACTTCTCCCACGTTATTCTTAATGTCTTCATGGTTGGTTGTCATGACCTCCTGCATTTTCAACATTGTTTCTTGTATCGCTAATAAAATTGACTGCATATGTTGTAAATTGACGGTAGAGGCCGCTTTTTCTCCTCCCAACATGGCTTTTATCATCTAACTTTCGTATCTCCTCCTTTATTTCCCCCTTTACTTCTCCCATGTTATTCTTAATATCTTCATGGTTGGTTGTCATGACCTCCTGCATTTTCAACATTGTTTCTTGTATTGCTAATAAGATTGACTGCATATGTTGTAAATTGACAGTAGAGGCCGCTTTTTCTCCTCCCAACATGGCTTCCACCGACTTTGATCCTGAGGGGGAAGCTGTCATTGAAGTTATTTTTCCCCCTATTTTGGTTACTGTGGTAGTTATGCTTATTATTTTGATATTTCTAAAGAAGTTATTCCACAATACCACACACACACACACACACACACACACACACACACACACATATGTAGGTCTTTGGTTATTCAGGTTTTCTCCCATGTAAAATTGGAAGTGTCTTGACAACGTTTCGATGAAGTCTCATTCGTCATCTTCAGGTTGGTGTCTTCAGTTTCGTGCTTGTGCAAGGAAAGCGTGATCGGAGCTGCCGTCGCTCTATAAATACTGGTGGGGAGCCAGCACCCCACACCTCCCCACCAGTATTTATAGAGAGATGGCAGCTTCGATCACGTTTTCCTCGCACAAGCACAAAGCCGAAGACACCAGCCTGAAGATTATATATACATACATACATACATACATACATATACATATATATATACATATATATACATACACATACACATACATATATGTATGTATGTATGTATGTATGTATGTAGGTCTTTGGTTATTCGGGTCTTCTCCCACGTAAAATTGGAAGTGTCTTGGCGACGTTTCAACGAAGTCTCATTCGTCATCTTCAGGCTGGTGTTCTCGGCTTCGTGCTTCCAGGAGCAATATGAGATCGCAGCTGTCTCTTCTTTTTAACTGCTAGTGGCGATGTGAGCTGATTGGGTGGGAACTTGGCTGTGTTCTGATTGGGTGGAGGTGTGTTCTGATTGGTTAGGGGCTTGGCTGTGCTCTGATTGGATGGGGGGTTGGTTGTGCTCTGATTGGCTGGGGGTGTGTTCTGTTTGGGTGGGGGCTTGGTTGTGCTCAGCTTAGTCTGAGTTGCAGGGGGATTTGAGCTGGTGAGCTGCGTTGTTGTTGTTTGGCTTCGTGTTTGTGGCCGTGCGAGCTCTTCATGGTGGGTGTCAGTCTGCTTCATGTATGGATTGGAGGGGTTTAAAGTGGCTAATGATGCAGCTGCGGTCTGGCTTCTGGTCCTTGGTCGTGGCTCATTATCAGTGTGGGTTTGAGTCTGCTTTCTGCGTGGATGTGTGGTGGTGACATCCTGTGTGGCTCTCGTGAGTGTGGGTCTGGTGTCATTCGACGTGTTAGGGACTCATTTGTCAATAAGGGCGGGTTTCCAAATGGCTGGTAGGCGGGAGGTATCGTCTCGTTTGTTCATGCTGTGTGGGCGTTTTTCTATCTCGATGGCTTCTCTGATTATTCTGTTGTTAAAGTGTTCAGTTTTGGTGATAGTTCTGGTCTTTTTAAAGTCAATATCATGTCCTGTGGCTTTAAGGTGTTGGACCAGGGAAGAAGTTGGTTCCTCTTTTCTGACTGAGTTCTTGTGTTCTTCTATGCGTGCACTTATTCGTCTATTGGTTTGTCCGATGTATGTGGTGGGGCAGGCAGTGCATGGGATTTCATATACTCCTTGATTTTCTAACTCAATTTTGTCTTTGGGGTTCCTTAGGATGGTGGATATTTTTCGGTTTGTGCAGAATGCTGTCTTGATGTTATGTTTGTGGAGGATTTTGCTTATTCTGTCTGTGGTGCCTTTTATGTATGGGAGGAGGGTTTTGCCGTTTTCTTGTTCTCTGTCTTGGATTTTAGTGGGGGTTTCTTTTTGGATTAGGTTGGTGATCTTATTTCTTTGGAATCCATTGGATGTTAGTACGTTAGTGAGAGTGTGTAGTTCGGTTTTTAGGTGTTGTTCGTCAGCTAAGCGTTTTGTTCTGGAAATGAGTGTCTTGGCTACAGAGTTGATCTGGGCAGGGTGGTGGTGTGAGAGTGCGTGCAGATAGCGGTTTGTGTGTGTTTTCTTCTGGTAGATAGTGTGTCCTAGGGAGCCATTGGATTTTCTGTAGACTAAGACATCCAGGAAGGGAAGTTGGTTGTTCGCTTCTGTTTCCATGGTGAACTGTATTTTGGGGTGTAGGCTGTTGAGGTGTGTGAGGAAGTTGTCCAGTTTTTCTTTCCCATATGGCCAGATTATGAAGGTGTCATCCACATATCTGAGCCAGAGTTTGGGTTTGTGATCAGATTTTTCTAGAGCTTGGGTTTCAAAGTATTCCATATAGAAGTTGGCAATGACAGGTGAGAGGGGTGATCCCATGGGTGCTCCTTCTGTTTCTTTGTATTTCTGTCCATTATAGATGAAGTATGTGTTGGATAGGCAGTGGTTGGTCAGATCTAAGATGTGCTTGGGGGGGTTATATTTGTTTTGGATAACTGTCAAGGCTTCTTTGATTGGTACTTGGGTGAAGAGGGATATGACATCGAAGCTCACGAGTAGGTCACTGGGCTGTAAGTTTTGTTGCTTTATGATGTCTATGAACTGGAATGAGTTTTTTACGTATGAGGTGATGGATTCTGCATAGGGCTGTAGTTGTTTGGCGAGAAATTTGGCTAGGTTTTGTAGAGGTGAGCCTATGGAGCTGACTATGGGTCTGAGTGGGGTTCCTTCTTTGTGTATCTTGGGGAGACCATAAAGCTTAGGGCATCTGGATGATTTCTCTCTGGGAATGATTCTTTGCTGAATCTCTTCGCTGATGGGGGAGGCTTATTATTTCCTTTTAACTGTTATAATGTTCCCCAATAATCTCTTATTATACTGTGATATATAATCCTTAATTAAGTAAATTCCAATTTCTAACAATCATTTAGTATACTATTAATATTTGATTAGTAATTATTAATATATAATATAATGTATACTATATAAATATATAAATCAATAGTAATACAAATCAATAGTAATCAATAATTAATCAATGTATTCTTTCCTTCCTAAATTTGTATTACCATTACAATTAGCAACCTTGGATTTGTTTCTATATCTCTATGTATACTTCTCTATTCACCTACAATTAAATGAGGGTCTATTAATATACAAACCCCTCCACCTTGCCGATCCCTCCAAGATCCGACCTGCAAAAAAAAGCTTCAAAAACACAAAAAATCGGGTACAAACTAGTGGAACCCTGCTTGTTTGCCCCGCTATAGCGTGACGTCACCGCAGGAAGTCCTGAATCTCCTTTATATTTTATTTTCAATGTGAATCTATCCATCTCTGCGCAGTCCAATATTTTCCGAATTATGTTTTTATCTGGTGGGGTGTTCTAATTTTTCCAATATTATGCCAATACAATTCTCGCTGTTGCTAATATGTGTAGCATTAAGTATATAGTCCCTTTATCGTAACTTTCTGGTATTATACCTAACAAAAATATTTCTGGCTTTAAATCTATATGCTGCTTAATCATCTTTTCTCCTTCCTCCTCTTCTATTGTCTTGCTATTCTCAGTCTTTTTTGGGTTCTTTGCCGTTTTAGGCTGTAGCTCTTCTCTGCGTGAGAATAGGTGATCCGGGAGCTACAAGTTGCCTTGTCTTTCCAGACATGTTCATTTAGACTGAAACTGGACTTGAGGCAAGCCAGTCTGTTCAGTTGTTGTTGTTAGTTGCGAAGTCGTGT